TTAAATATTCCACACCACTTCGTTTAATACAGTTATTCATATAACGATTTCTGAACATTACGTCTTGTATGGGAAGTGGTCGAAGAAGTACACAAACTCAATATATCCTTGTTTAGCAACTGGTGTAAATTAAAGTAATTGAAAGTAATAATTAAAAAAATAAGTAAATAAAAAAAAAAAGATACCAAGAAAGAAATTACATCCAACTATAGCCGAACTTTTTTTACCCAACGCACCGTTATCTTAGGAGAGAATATACAGCTCTTGACCGAAGCACCACCTTTTAAAGTGTGTATCGTTCTTAAAAATGTCTTTGCCAAATTACGGTTTATCGCGAAGTAAGAAACGAGCAATGTATGTAAGAATTAAAATTAAAAAATATTAGGAAGCATGCATTCGTAAAACGAACTAAGCCTTTAATTGCGATCACAAAGTCGCAAAAGCTAAGTTATTGCTACTAAATCTCATGCAAAATTACGGTACAAACACTAAAAGAATGCAACTCGAGTTCTAGTAACTTTCAGAGACATTACGCAACTCCACATCTGAAACGCGTTTGAAAAATTCTGAAACCTACCGTAAAAATCCGATTTCATCATTATGTGTAGACCGCGTCATTGCCAAAATCGCCCGAAACATCCCCACTACCTATATATAGGTATAATTATCAAAAAATTTAAACGAAGTAGTGCAAGTACAGTTCTTTGATGTATTTTAAGCCGCGGCAGAAGCAGATCCCCCCTTCTCTTTTTCTCATAACTTTTTTGCATAATTTTCAGATATTTTTAGAAGCGTTTTATCGTCGAAAACAAACTATCTACATGTGAAGAGACTTTCTATTCTTTAAAAAGTCGATTATCTTATTGTAAAAAAAAAAAAAAAACCGAGCCTCCAGTCTCGAACCCACATTGCTGCTGCGAGTGAGCGAGGCGAATATAAGGCGGAGGAGAATATCAGGAATATTTGTATCGTAAATCAAATCAAAAAAGTACACAAACTTAATATACCTTTGTATAACAACTGACATAATTAAAATTAATTGAAATTAATAATTTAAAAAAAAAAAAGTAAGAAAATCACATTTAACTCTAGCCGAATCTTGTATACCCATCACACACAGTTATCTTCGAAGAGAATATACAGACTTTTATTGTTGTAATTTACGAGTAAAGAGAAAAAAAAAATCGTTTTTTGGTTTTTAAAAATAGAAATGTCCTCAGTTAATGCTGTACATTAGGCGTGTCCCGTGACCTGTTTCGTCGACATTTAAAATTAAAACGGGCTGCAATTGTATTGCCTGATTTGAAGCTGATATATTAATTATTGCGACCAGAAGAATGTTCACCACACACCACGTCCGCAAAAAATGATAGACGGAAGGACAGACAGTGTTCCAGTGTTTATCCTATGAAGATTCCTTCCGCATATTGCAAACGTTTTATTAAAGGAATAAGTATTCAATATTCTATAATATTAGGTGGGCATGGTCGACTGTTTCCGTTTTTGTACAGCTACTTTAGAATCACACATCGAATACATATGCAACTTTTTAAAGTTTCATCTTGGGTAATAAGCAAAACATCAATTTTTTCTTTTGCATTTTACAGCAAATGCATTCACGGTTTATGTGTTGCTGTAGGGCATATCCTTCAACAGATTTTGTCCAATTTTAATAGCGATCTATATTCTTGCAAATTCGTATTTGGTTTATGGTCGGCAGAATGTTTAGCAAACACGTTACACAAGCATACAGACATTGACCAACTGGACAGACGGCCTATGCTTAAATCGAGTCGGAATTCGATGATGATTTGATGCTGTGAGGTCTCTAAAGCGTTTGGGCGTTGCAAACACGCCCATTCCCATGCTTCGATGATGGATATAAAACCAAGCAAAACCGTGATTGTTGACCAAGACCGACCGATCGATAATCGCTTCGCTTAATCTTCGTTTATTTTCGCGTTAATACCCGGAACTTTTACTTTGTTTCCGTGCAAACGCGTACCTTCCAAAGAAGCTCTTGTATGACAGAGGATCCAACGATCACATTAAACTAAGTTTACCAAAATTAATCTTTTTATTAAGGTCTATACTACTGCATTACTACAAAAAATAAAACAAAGGAACAAAGAAAAATTCTATAAATACAATCTTCCAATGTCAAATTCATTTTATTTTTTATGAAAAGTCTTAAATCCAATCCATTTCGGTTCTGCAACGTAGAAAGCGTAGAAAGTAGATTGCTCAGTCGGTTCTAAAAAAATCGTATATTTCGTCGACAGATATAGACCGATTCTAGTTTTCATACACTTTACCATTTCAGGATTCCGTTCACTATGTTCGCTGTGTCACATACATCCACCATGTCAACCATTAATTTCTGATGTTGAACAGACTGGCAATATTAAACAATTAAGTGGTTCGAGACATTTTCTCTCTGATATTTGCTCAATCGTCCTTCTCGAATTTATAAATAATGATTACTTTTATCTATTTCGAGACTCTTGACGTACTAAACTGCGGTTCGAAATTAAGAAATCTTCAATTTTTTTTTTTTTTTTTTGTTTTACACATCAAACCATATATTTGACGAGTTTCATCTATTTTCACAACTGTCAGTGCTAGGAAGCACAGTAGAAATCCAATTATTGAAAATGGATTTTAGGTGAAACGGCTGAAGAGGCAACAATTATCAACCATAACAAGTAAGAAAATTATATTCGATCTTTATTCGGTCGAGTCTTTTATACCCATCATCACCATTATCCTAAAAGAGATTTAAAAAAGGAAGAGAATTAAAATTTTCGTACTCTCTAATATTGGATGAGTGCGCCTGATTTTTTCTATATTCAGAATAAAATTAGAAATTGATATGATGTATGTGTTGTAGTTTGCGAGTGGCAAGCAAAAAATACGGAAAGTAAATGTGTTCGCAGGCTTTGTTGTATAGGAGTGTGGGCGTTGTAGGCGTGTGTTTTGAACGCTTTAGATCATATTCAAATTATTTGCAAATTTCTAAGGGATAGCTTTATTTTCCGCAGTTGGCCAGACGGTCAGATGGACAATGAACGGACACCCATAATTAAGTGCCGTTCGAATTCGAAATTGGTCAATGAAGCTTTTGAAGGTTGCTTCTACCCGTTATAAATGTATTGAAAAAAAGAAATGAAATTTTAAAACCTCAGATTATTAGCTAGGCGTGAACTAATTTTCCCCTTCTTTGTACAAGTGTACAGCAATGCCTATAGAATGGCCGCCCAAATTTTTTTACGTGTATCTGGTGTTGTGTTTATGAGTAAAGAGGAAAAAAAACAAATTTTTTTCTTCCTTTTCAAAAACAGAGGTGTTCTCACTCAATACGTAGTACAGTGAGCGTTTCCTTGAACCGATTTGGGTAATTTTCAATGCCAAGCTGCGTGCAAGAACTTCCAATGTTTCTACCGAACATGCAGTCGATGGCTTCATTTTTGCGGCCAGGAGAATGATTAAGACGGGAATTAAACAGACGGACAGACAGACATGCTTAAATTGATGCACATTTTGATGCTGACCAAGAATATATATATACATTTTGACGCGTCTCGGCAGCTCATCCTTTGGTGATGAGTATAATAAAGTAGCATTGATGGACATATCAAGAATACTCAGTACTCCAAAACGTATCATCAAATATGAAAAAAAAGGGGTGAAATCATTATGAGATTTGGGGAAAAAAAAAATTGCTGCTAACGACAAAAACAGAATATATAAGATTATCGGAAGCGGCTTAACAAGTATTCTGGAAATGTGATACTTAGTGTCTGCAGTGACTGTCCAGACAGTCCACAGAGAGCCAAATTCAGTAAGAAAGCTGTCAATAGCAAGTTGGCCATTAACAAAAAAAAATAATTATATAAATTAAATATACAATAGATATTTTTTAGATAGATTTTGATTTTCTTTTACCAATCTTTATACCCTACAGCACTTGTGATACAAGGCTATAATAAATCTGTGGGAACGCACACCAAGGGACTTAAGGTGGACACAGCTTTTATTATACCTATCGATTCGAAATCACCTTTTGCATTGATCTAAATTTGTCTGTCCGTCTGTCTCTCTTAAGTTCTTGTGTTTAACACACAAGCGGTAACTTTTGAGATAATTTTAATGAAATTTGATTCACGCTAACATGTTTTAACCCAAGGAAGACCGCTATTCAAAATGGTTCGGATCGGACCACTTCCCATACAACGCCTTATTTTGAACACCCGATGGAGGGTGCCTTACTAAAGTATTTTTTTTTGCTTCCTTCAAACCTCATATTTCGTTTATTTTTATTTACTTACTTTTCTTACCCTTCTTTGCATTATTTCATTATACCGATGATATCGTAAATATTCCGATGTAAATGCAACAAACGGGAAGGTCAACTTGTATCACTTTTGTATTTCGTATCGTACAATGGCTCAATAACGAATACTTTTAACTGACCTTAGCCTTTCGAAGAATTGAAAAATAAAGTTAATATTCTTCAATACATTCCACTTTTGCTACATACGCGATTCTTTGGAATTGCAGTAGCGATTAAATACATATTATAAATATTCATTATTGTTTTATGTATATATTTAACACTTACATATAGAAATTATATGAAAATTTACATTTCAACATATATTCATTGGTATAATAACATGAATAGTTATATGAAAATTTTTTACAAAGTTTCGTATTAACCTACAGATTACACATATACATGCATCTTAAAAATATGTATATGTATACGAACATGGTGGTGTAGTTTACTAATTCAGAATTTTCTTTTTTTTTTATGTTCAATCATATCACAGCTACGTATTTACATAGTGAATTACATTAAAAAAATAAATAAAAAATACAGTAAAATATTTTAAAAACCAAAGTTAAAAAAAAAAAAAATTATTTAGAAAAGAAAAGAAAAAAAAAGGAACGAAATAAAATATTTCACGTTTTCAAAGGAGATAAAATAATTTTGAAACAAAATTAAATTTTCTTTTTTTTTTAATTCTGACAATTTTTTGGAAATACCAATACCACATAGCGCTTGTTTGTGGTTGCATAACGATTGTATTGTAATTGTATACTTTGTTCCAGTAGCAAGAGTTTTAAAACGAAAGCTTAAGATAATTCGAAACCGGTATTACTGGTAACAGCATAACGTAATTTATCTCTTAGCGTAGATTTCTTTTGATAATTTGGCAACTTGAGTAAATTGAAACACGTTGAAGATGTGGGCAAACGATTTAAGGGATCCTTTTTGCGTATTGTAAAGAAACCACGTATAACGCTGCCAATGGTATCGCCAGTATCTTCATCGTCACCTACTTCCACGCAACGTATAGAAAATGGTGGCTCCAAATGAGCGAAACCCAATAATGGCGGTTTAGAACAACTTGTCACAAACTATAAATAAAAAAAATATTTTTTAAAAGGACAAAATTGCATTCAACTTGACAGATAATATATCAGTCAACTAGGAGGAGCAGTTTGAGCAGGATCAGTTCGCCATCGCATTTCGATTGATCATTACTCCACAGGTACCGTGAACCTTGTAATTTCTTTTTATCTCATTGGATTGAAATTTAATCTTTATTTGAATCGATGTACATTCTGCATTAAAAATATGAGAAATGCTTAAATTGAAAATAAAAGAAGAAGAATATAATGAACAAAAATTTATTGCGCCGCCTGAGCACAGCGTTTCGACGCAGTCGTCCGTCACTCGTGCGGCTTTTCTTGCCGAATATGTCTCAGTCGTAATACAATGAGTAATGGAGCTGCATGATATTTTCATCTTTTGAGCGAGCTCCGTACAAGGCAAATACGAAATTTTGAGTACCAGCTTCTTAATTTTTCTTTGCTTTTATTAGACCGCGATCGAATCAATCCTCACATTCTAAGCCGCTGTAAATAGTTTCGAACTGTAGCTATGTTCTCATTTTCTAGCGTTTCGACCGACATTATTTTATTTAAAGCAATAAACCTTAAGCTTGCTCAGATAATTATATGCTACTCTGCTTGTGGTATAGGCTACTTTAAGTCTGTGCGGACGTACGTTACACTCAGAAGGGCTTAAGGCAAACCCGCCTTTTATTCTATCGATACCTGAATTTGTCTCTCTGTTCGCCGGCTAATGTCTGTCTATGCGTTTTTATGTTCAAGTTATAGATCGCAAATTTTTGCGATATTTTGATGAAATCTGATACACTGCCGTGCTTTGACCCAACGACGAACGCTATTAAAAATGCTTCACTTCTCGATTGCTCCCCATATAACGACTTTTCAAAACAATTGTAATAATTGTAATTACAATTTTCAAAATTTTTCGAAAAAAATCGCTGAGTAATAGTACTTCGACATTCTAAATTGATATGAAAAATTCCCTCTGGGTTCTTCTGGGGAAATTTTTTCAGCTCTCTGGCTTATAACGGTTCCTACGAAAACTGAATCTTTATATGATAAAAACATAGAATTTTCAATATTTCATGATGAAAATTGTTTCATAATAGTAAATTGACGAAGAAGTCAACCTTAACGACTTTTAACGACGTAGGTCTATTTTTTTGATACTGCCGTATATAAGGATTCTGTAGAAATGTAGGGCTTTATATGCCAAAGCTGCCCAAGTGTTTTACGATAAAAAATTATTCATTATACAGTCCGTACAAGTTTTCTCATATATAGTAAGTCCTTCAGCAAAAAAATTTAATTTTTAATAATATGTTCGCAGTAACAATTTAGCAAAAAAAAAAAATTAGTCAGGGAATTTGCGTCGTACATACATACGGGTTATAATGACAACTATGCCTTTGCATGAAAATAATGTGTAATTTTTGCTGCATTATTACCAAAACGAGCGAATAATTGCACTAAGCAAAATCGTGCAGGGTATCTAATAGTCGGTCTTGCCCGACCATATTTTTCTTATTTCTTTTTCTGTTATAAAAATCGCAGATTTGCCGCAGCCGAAATGAACAACCACATCAGTATCGTGAACATTGAGGGCAAAGTTGCGCTCAAATTCAGCACGAAATTTCAGTACAAGGCTAGCAAGTTCAAAGACATTGCAGTGATTATCATCGCTTATCTTTAATATTCAAATAATTTGACAGAGAGATTTTAACGCGTTCATAATAGGGCTGATGGATTTCGAAAGAAGTCTTTAATGGAAATAAAAGAAAATCTTGAAAAAAAGCTTTTAGATGGAATTCTCAGGAAATTGATGCACCTCCGAGCAAGATAACGCACTAACCGGTTCGATTTTCTTACCCTTAACTTACGGACGGTCTATGTTTTAGTCAAGGTACTAAATCACTTTTTTGCTGCTTAAAATTATGTTTTAACATAGACAAATTTAATATGCCAGCCATTGCGTATTTCGCTTTTGATTTGTAAAAGTCTAAGAACAAAGAAAATGTTCTTATTCTTAAATTATTTTCCAAACGTTGCAAACGTTGCATATGCCAATTACTTATATCGTGCATTGTTGAAGGGATTAAATTACCTTTAAAAACAATTTCCTTTCTTCTTCAGTAAAGTCTTTAGAGAGTATGTCCCATAGCCAACCAACGACACGATGGGAATCATGAAAACCGCCATAATATTGAGTGTGTTTACGTAAATCTTTTAAATCTAAGGGCACCGTATCACCCGATATTAAACGCTGCAATTCGGGCGGTGAAAAAAGTGATAACCATTCGGGATTGACAATGCCACGGAAACCGCGATTAAACGCCTGCGTTTGCTCCCGAATTTGTGTATTCATATGAAAATAGGCCATATAATGTATATAAACCAGTTTATTGTGATCAGTGACGACACGCGCCTTACCACCCGGATGCAATTCATGAGTGACAATTTTTCCCATAACATCTTGATCGACCGAAAATGTTAAATTTAAATCGGCTACATCTTGTTTATAATGTTTGATAAAAGTTAAACTACGATAAAGTTCGGCATCCAATGAAGGTAATTCATCCATGCAAGAATACAAGGCCTGATGAGTTTGCCCCAATAATTGTGATAAGAAGAACGAAGCAAATGGTACATCAACAACAATGCCTTCATAAACAGCTTTACCCAGCATACGACCAACAAATTCAAACAATTGCAAATGATTGTCTTGCACATAGGAAATAGGTGAGGGATATAAACGTTGATCGGAAGTGGTTTTAAAAAGATTTAAAGCTGGATCGAAAACTTTTTTTATAGTTTCTTCTAGAAACTCTTTAAAAACACCATCTTGATCTATACCAGCTTCATGTAAACCTTGTTGATTGATAAAACGTACACGTATAACACCCTGGAAATGATTGAAAATTTGCGTTTGTTTTAAAAATGAAAAACAATAGGATCGAATAATGTATGTAAACCTTTAAAGCATGGGGTTTTAATGCAGCCAATTGCCGATATCCATCTTCTACAATACGATCGCGGTGTACAACTATTAAAGCCGAACGAGGCGAAGCGCATGCACTTTCGGTTAAGCCCAAAACAGCTTTCTCATTTTGTACGAATTTGCGGAATAATTTAACTCGATCTTCATGCGGTATAACGTGCGGCATTTTCTGCAGCAATATCACTGCATGACGTTTTGCTTTTTCTAAATCGTTAACAAAGGCTGTAGGCTTAACTTCCGATATTAACCAATGTCCCGTGGGTGTAAAGGTACGGCGGCAATCTCGTCGATATAAACATAATAATAAAGTGTGCAAAGATATGAAAACAGGCGATTGTACAACGTTTTTGGAATTCCCTAAAACAAGAAGATAAAGTTTGATTTTAAAAGAATAATTTTGAATAATGATCCGAGCGTTTCCTTACCCAATATATTATCATTAATAATTTTATATAAAATATTATTTAGAAAATATGTTAACATAACATAATCATTCAAAAGGAACGGTTTTTCTTCGGTATACATCTCGTGCTCATCAAGTATCCTAGAAAATTGAATAACATCAAAAATTTAGAAAGCATTTAGCAGCATTCTTTAACCAATTAACATAACTTACGTTACATAGTGCGTCATACAATCGCAAAAGAGCATTAACATGGCGGTTTGTGGTTTACGCAAGAAATCTTCACATTTGAGTAGCTCCAAGAACTCTTTCAAACCGCAATACGGACCTAATGATGTGATAAATAACCACAAATCATAGATGACATTGTCATTATAACAAATGCCTGTTAATATATCCAGTCTCAATTGGGACAAAGTGTTTAAAGCGGCATAATACATGGCCGACACCCGTGACACTTGGATTACCTCGGGAGCATCAAGTTTACGCCAAAAGGTTTTGGTAGTTTTATAAAGACTATTACGTGTGGCGCTACGCTCCAAAGCTCTACGCAATATGTTACTTGTAGAAGCTTGATTAGGAGACTGGAATTCCACGCGCTCATAATTAACATTAATATCCTTAAGCAAATCACCCAAAAGTATTTTCAAACAACGATGACCCCACAACATATGAAATTGCCGCTTAATTAGAGAAACGTTCTGATTTTGTGCTGGATCTGTGGACGGTGTATGCCACCCTAAAAGTTCATGCCACTGTGTAAAGACGCCTTTGGGAGTTACTGTGTTTGGTATACTAGCGAACAATTGGAAAGCTGTATTCTACGACAATATCAAAAAGATGTGAAACTTCAAAACATATCAATGAAATTTTCTTACGATAATCACACTTACAGTTAACAGGGGGTACGCTAACAGTCTCGCCTCTACATTGTTTTCAATATTAAATAAATTTACAATGTTGCCCAGAAAGGCTAAGCACTTAGTTCCTGGTATTTGACGTCCAAAATCACTAAACCAATTAAGATCTTCGGATATGCCCAAAGCACGTTTTAATATCCACATCGAGGATAATTGTTCTATGCATTGAGACGCGCTGGTGTTTAAATGATAAATTAAGGCAGGCACTGATAAAATTTCTACAAGGAATTGTCCTAAAATATTGCGGGAAAATTCACCATCCACCAGGGGACGAGTGCATAAAGTCATTATTGCTATTAAAGATACCGGCTTTAACGTTAGTTCCTCTCTTGAGGTACCCTTTAATAAAACAGTCTAAAACGAAGAAAATAAATGTACAAAGCCGATTCCGTAGTTAGAAACACCCAACCTTCATTATTTTAAAGAAATCATTTTGTATGAGATTGCCTTGAATGTTGCAGCATATTTTCTGCATTGCCGGTTGTAACTTCTCAAATTGTTTATTCCTTAAAATGCCCCAGGATTTGGGTGAGGTAAACACTACTAATGTGTGCAATAATAAAGCCAATGATATGCTATCAGCATGATTTTCTTAAATTAGTTAATATAATTAATGAACGAATAAGACAAATAAACAAATGTATACAAACCCACCAGGTTTAATATCCTCTAGCAGTTGTAGTATAAAATTTAACAAAATCTTTATATGCGAAATCCAGGGTAGACTATATAAATAAAGATGATATAAACCAAATAAAAAATTAGAATATTTCACATTTTTTAAGTCGTTACCTTTTATCCTTTTGTAAACATAATATAGCATATGATCGCTTCGGTACTTCAGTTTCCATTGATTTATTAAGATAACGACATAAACGTTCAAAACGTTCACGTATCAGATCACAATTTTTTTTTAAACCAATTTGTGTTAAAAAACGCCTTACAACTGGATAGACAATAGCGGAAACGTGCGGCTCACCATTACTGCCATCCTGACTATCATCTGCTATCAACTCATCAAAATCGGCTCTAGAATAACAAAAATTCCATTACTTTTCCATTAAAATCCAAATAGACCCCAACGCAAACATATTTGCAATTTACTTACAAAATTTGCTTGTGATAACTTCTACGTGCCAAGAATGTTCGTACACAAGACTGTATTCCAATAACTGCCAATTCACGGCGTTTTTCCAAAGCTCGTTCTTCACGCGCTGCCTTGGTTTGTTCAAGAAATGAACTTTTTTGTGATTCATTAGAGGCAAACATTTTTCGAACAACGCACGCACATATACAGATTTTATATCCAATTTTTAAAACACTTTAAATGTACGATAAATCAAGCGACAAAAAATTATTATTCTTTAATCCCACAGGTTCCGCCAGCAGACTACTTGATGTGTATGCGTTTATTTTGATTTCACTTTTCTTTTTTTATACTTTTTGTGTTTATATGTATTTTCAATTTTTGTAATTCAATATCCTTTCTTATACTATTTTTACAATTTCATTGATAAAATTATGGATAAACACGAACAACATACTGTATAAAAATTTAAAGTTGACTTTTTTTCTATAATAAAAAATTTCCTTAATTTCCTTAATAATCCTAAACAAATAAGCAACTTTCGCTTCTCTTCTTCTTCGCCAGAGCTACCGTACTTCATAAAATATATAAAACATAAAATCGAGAGTGCCAGCTCTAACTGTACAGAATAAGGAATGAGAAAAATATAAAAATGCCACTACCGCTGTAGGATTTGGAAAGAATACTGTCGATTTGTAAAACTGCTTAGGAGACGTAATTGGCAGCATTGCTTTTAGCAAGTAAATTATTGCAACATATGATATTGTGAATAGAAAGAGATTACATTGGAACTTCCATTCCTATTCCAAACTATTTTAAAAAAATTTTCTTTTCTATGATACGGTTAAGTGTTCCTAAGTTATTTGCCATAGCTCGTAACATATTCTTATTACGTGGATAATAATAATGTGAAAAGTTTTAAACTAAGATGATATTATTTTTCGAAAAACTATCCAGTTTAATTCATTTTAGAGAAGATATTAATCCAACTGTGATAAATAAAGATCGATAGCTTCTACAATTGACAACTAGAAAAAAAATCGTCTTTCGTTGATTTCGACTCATTCACAGGAATTTTGCAAAAGAAAACAACTAAGAACTCTTGCTGAATATTGACAGATGTCAAAGATTTATTAGTTCTTGCAGCAAGGTAGAGATTTTGATGTAATTCTTTGTCTAAAATTTTTCAAATTAATCTACATAGTACTAAATGACTTGCAAGAATACAAAAACTTATCGATAACTTCTGCTAACAGTTATTGAAATTTAATATTAATTAGAGTAAAGTTTTATACCATATTATCAAGTAAAGCTGATTCTTCTATTAGGCAGAGCAATGCAACGTTTTTAAAGACATTTAAGAAAAAAAAGATTAATATGAATTAGTCTTTCCTCTTTGCCAAATAGCAGACATTTAGATGTAAGCTTTTATAAAACTAAATTTCTTCATCTACAGCTTTTTTTTTGACATGGAGTAAATATGGAATAGGCCTATGAGCTATAGCTTATATATCCACGATACCACCCATATCATTATTGCTTGTTTTCCCTTTATGGAAGGCGACATTGTTACAATGTTTTGTATCATTTTACATTTCATAGCAGTATATGTTTAATAATAATAATAAGAGAAAAAGTAAAAAATAATTAAATAATAATAACAAAAAATTGAACAATGAATTGATGCATCAGCATCGTTACAAGACAAGCAAAGTGGTATCAATTTTTAATTACAAAATTTTGCATAAATAAAAACACTATATGGTCTTGTCTCTACAATTCGCCAAATACGTAAGTCGCATCCAACTTGCGTACATTTTCGGTGGATGGAAACTAACATTGAAATCTTTATTACACTAAAATCTTTGCGTGGAAAATTATTTAAGCTACACATAACATATATTTCGCAACTAAATTTTGCATTCCATGTATTGGCCAAGTTGCCTGTCGTGCGCACTTGGTTTCTTCTTTTAACACACAGTACTTTAAGCCGCTATTAAAATTATTTCTGGCCGTACTTAAAGTAATAAATAGTTTCTTCACATTTACAAGTGTCAAAATGACTTTCGGTTTAGTATTTCTTGGTGCCTGTGGGCAGCGGATATTTTTGAATATGAACATAAGTTCACAGTTATAAGACTGTTCATTTTTCGACGTCTGCGGAAGTAATAGATCTGATGTTATACAAAAACTAAACGTTATGGCTCCAGACAGACATTGACAGATACGTAGAAACAAAACTAAGAACTTTTTAAATAATTTAGCAATACGAACAAAATATGTTTTGCATATCATATAAGACAACAGTTAATTGCTCTTTAAACGCACTTTTACAATTTTCTTACATTGTGAGCTAGCCTGATCAGCTGTGATTATGATTACAGCTAAAGTTTAAAAATTTGAAGAATTTAAATATATACATTTTGATGTCCAAGCAGGAAATTTTCGACACAAACCAAAGAAATTATTGATTCAAGACTTCGCTGTTATCGTAATCGATTTCCTAATTTCGTCATAGTTATTATATGAGAGACAGAGTTACCCTTTGTTAATTAACTTTTGAAGCAGTAGAGCTTGCTTATTTTGTTTATATAATAACGTGGAAACATACACTTTACTGTTGAATTTCGATTTTTTTTAAAAATATATATTAGAAGTCGTATCATTTACATCGAAAATTAGAATCCATCCTTATCTCCTTTTGAAAGTATTCTTCCTGCAGCAAGTGGTAATAACTTTGATTTCCTTTTCAATAATCGTATTTAGATCTGGCAGCATTGTCTTAAATAAGAAGAAAGGAAATAAAACCTTAGGCAAACACATACATTCACCTACTGAAGATTTATAAAAGAAGACAAAAGAGAAGAAAATTGGTGAAAATTTTTTATTAAAATCAATAACAGGAATTTATGTGCAAATTATTTAAATAAAATGTAGCCGAATGCGGAAAGTGCAAAATGTAAGAGTAAAATTAAATGTGGTTGAAAAAAAAAGATCTAGTGGAAATAAAGGAATTGTGGTGTTGCAGTAAAGTAAAAAAAAAAAAGAAAAAAAAAGAGAAAAGCAGAAAGTAGAAAAAATAAGGTGAGAAAAGGCTGTTTGCTCTGCCACTATCTATGAGAAAGAAAATAATATAGTTTCCCATAAAATGTAACCTATTTAATATATATACAAAAGTGAAGAAATAAGAAACAATTTATCTGTGGACATGAAAGCAAATGTACGCAAAGAAATATTAAAACGTGATTAGACGGAATATTGTTCGCAAAATTGCAACACAATTGAAAAAAAAATTATTTCAAGGTTTAGCTGCGCAGTTAACGTCGAGAAAATCGGAACGGCCCAATATACAGAGAGAAAAGTAAGCAGATTTGTACTGCGAAAATAGATTAGTACTATTGTTATGTTATGTTGCTGTTGTTGTTCTCGTGCTATATCCAACAATTTCTATTTAGTATACTTGTACTTGTTTTTTGTTTTTCTTTATAGATTGTTATTATTGTATCGTATATACATATATACACACCATCGTGCATACATATATGCTAATAAGCACACATATACATAAATGAAAATATATTATACAACTGTTGTTGCTCTAATTGAGTGGATGCAAATAAAAGTTTAGTGGCTTTGGTTTGGTGATGATGGGAAAATGGAAACAGGTCGAAAAGAAACTTCAAGAAGACTACGAAAATTCATACAAAAACAAGTGTAACTGCAAAAATAACAAAAACAACGGTAACAGTGACTCTAACAAAGACACGATTACAAGAAAATAACGGAAGAAGGAAAAACACAAACAAAAACATATGACACATTCATACTATTCGTGGACATACATGTAGCGGTGTAAACAGCAATAACAATGACAAAGGAGAATATTAATTTTTCAAGCCTTCGGAGCAACGACATTATACTAAAAAATTCTCGAAGAAAAGAGAAATTGTATTTAGCTACCTGCTAAAATATGAGAAAAACAAATAAATAAATATCGGCATCAATGATTTTTCTCGTAATGTAATTGCTTACTTTAAGCATAATACATGCCTTTTTCCTTTTTTTTTTTTATACCTATAACTCTTATAAATGGATTTTCATTTTCTCTTTTACTGTCATATTATACATTGACCCATTCCATTATAAGAACACTTGCTGTTTTGGCAAGCAAACGTGTATAATAAATATGCAACGATCATTACTATTATATGGATTTTTGGGCAACTCTCCATGAAGACGGTTAATGTATCATTTCTTTCATTTTTTTCCCGTTATCTCTAAATTTGTCTGGCATAACTTTTCTCTCTGTCGGTCTCTCTCTTTCTCTCACTCTCTGTCTCTCTCTCTCTTTCTGTCTATCTAAACAGTAACGGTAATTCGAATGTTTTCCTTAAAAAAAATTTACTTATTAAACTTGAATCACGCTTTCATTTGCCTCCACCTCATTAGTTAGTTGATTGTGTGTACCAGTCGCAGTTATCGTTTGTTGATCACTTTATTTATTTTTTTTTTTTTTCTTGTTTTTTACATTTTATTAAACTTTGAAATTCTTTTGTGTGGAAATTAGAGATGTTTTGTGTAAAAGTCGTTTATATTACTTATTTTCATGCAATTATATCCAACATATCTTATCGGTGGTTTGGTTTTTATTAGTGCTTGCATATGTTTTCTTTGCTTATGATATTTAAAAGTAAATACATATTAAAAAGCACAATGTTTGTTAATCATTAAATAATTATGATAAAAGTGTTATTAAATATGGAAAGAATAAAAAAAAAAAAGGCAACTAACTAGAGAGAAACTTTAGATCAAAATATTTAAATGAAATGTTGCTCTATAAAGCATATCCCATAAAATAATGTGACTGATGTATATAATTTTTTTTCTTTTTCATATGTAATTAATACACGTCGCTCAGAGAATGCTTCCAATACAAACAAACTGACATTGATTTCCTGGAGAAACTCATCGAAATAGGATTATTAAGGATATACAAGGAGGGTCATACCAAAATTATGTTTTTAATGAATACAAATTTATATATAAAAAAAAAAAGTAAGTAAAACTACTATATTATGGCATATTTTCAAATGAGAACATTTTTACCGTTACCCTTTAAATAAGCTTTGGCTCTTTTCTTTTAAATCATTGAGGTTAGCTTGAAATAATCGGATATTTCCTCCTTTAAATGTTTGAAATATCCATATGCATACAAATGTATATATGTATATGTATATATATATATATGTATATACGATATTTGCAAGGAAATTGCAAACGAATGAGTCAAAGCTCAAGAAACAAGAATTAAATAAAAATGTATGTATGCACAGTGTAATCTCGTCTCTCATAATTAATCGGACGATAATAACAATAATAAGAGGCTCCATCAATGCCTGTTATTATCATTGATATCATACATAGAAGAGAAAACGGACTTTGTCTAGCTCTCAAAACGGTGTAAATTCATCAAATGCTTGCTGCGTGTGTATATGTATATGCGTATGGAAAATATGTATTGCTTTCAATAGCTCAAGTTCAAAGTTCTTAAACGTAAAGTTATTTTAATGAACAAGACAATGATGAGTGATTTTAATATTAAGCAAAAAAAAAGAAAAAAAAAAACAAAAACAAACGAAATATGAAGTAAGATTAGATCACGCAAAAATAGAAAATGTAGAAGTTTCCTTAATATTTTTTAAATGTTGAAATATTTTTTACATATTTTTTCATCGATTACGATTGAAATCGTATTAAACGGACAAAATCAATACATATCTATGGCAATCTATATGTGTGCTTAAAGCGCCCTGAGTATTAATTTGTTGTTTATATTCTCATTATTCCTTTAATAACAGTTTTTGTTTATGATACGCAAACAAATATATATCCACATAAACCTGTGTACGATCGCTACTTACTTAATTGGCTTCTTAATTTTGTAAAAATTATCTTTAAATGTAATTTCTTATACTGTTCTCTTGTATATATGTGTATTAGACGAATGTTTAGAATAGAAAAATTGCATTAGATTTTTAATGAAATATTTCAATTTAGGGAACAGAATAGAATATTCTGACTTATATCCAAAACTAACCAAATACGTAAGAATCGCGATTACCAAGTCAGTGTTCGTGGGTACAAGTCTCCATGAGGTAGAGTTTGTCGACTTTGGTGGTAGCTGTACTTAGTGTTCAGTGGGTATATAGGTGTATGTATAACCGTTGCCGTTTGAATTCACACTTATTAGGCTCCGACCACCACTTCTCTGCCTCTCTTTTCCCTTCTTCCTTTCCTTTGCTGCGACCATTACCGCATTATGCATACAGTGTTTGGTCATATACAAATTAAAAAAAAAAAAAGTAAGAAAATTATATTCGAGATTGAATTTCGCGTACTCGCCACCATTAAAATCTCTAATACTACTTGCTTTCATTTATAATTATAACAACTGAAAACATTATTGTTGGACTAGGCCGACGATTAAATACCCTTACACTACATTTTCTAATTCAATTGTTATTTTTGCCATAGAACATAAAAATTATATTGAAAATCCTTATATAGGGTGGGATCCGAAAATAGGCGTACGTGGTCCCAATTTTGTAGAGTTCATTTTTATATCTATTTACTATGGATGAATTTTCATTATAACATATTAAAACTTGGACTTTTCTGCCGTATAAAGGATCAATTTTCGTGAAAATCCTTGTGTAGTGTAGGATTCAAAAAATAGTCCTAAATAGTGCAAATTCGATGCAGTTAATTTTTTATATTAATTTACTATTATTCGGTGGTTGCGTTAATTTTCGCTAGCGACTTGTACACGTAAAAATGAAAAATACCAATGCACATAACGATTCACATCGGTGTTTTTGATCTCTCTCTGCATAAAATAACAGTGATGCTGCTCCATCATAACCCAATTGTCGGTCTAAGTTTCATCGGGTTAAAAGTGGTGATATTGGCGTTAATAACAAAGAACACTAACTAAAAAAGCTCGAAGACAGTGAAATTCAAGATTTGTTGCACGAAAATCCAGCTCAAACTCTCAAAGAACTTTCAAAAAGTTCACCACTTGATGAATCAATTACTTGTAGACGTTTACATGCGACGAGAAAGATCCAAAAGGAGGGACAATGGCTATCATAAGAATTGACTGAAAATGCACAGGGAGGAGAAGAGTTTTCTGTGGCATATTGCGGCTAGCGATGGCAAGTGCATTTACTACGGTAACCCCAAGTATTCCTGGCCCTAAAGTTTAGTTGTGCGTGTATGGTGGGGTCAACAGGATGTCGTGTCTTACGAGATGCAAAAAACGAATGAAACTGTTACTGCAGGTGTCTGCCAACGTCAATTAAACAAATTGAACTATGTTTTTTTTGCAAAGAAGGGCAGCAATAGAGGTGAACAGATGCAAAGTCATTCTCTTGCATGACACGGCTCGGCCACATCATGTAAGAGCTGCTGTTTTTTAAGTGAAGAAATTACCAAAATTAACACAACCACCTAATACGATCTGATTTTCATCATGAAGCATTGAAAATTACCTCTTGTTGTTACATAAACTTCAGTTTTCGTTATATGAGAGGGGATTAAAAAAAGTTTTCACACCAATGCCGGAATGCAGGAATACTATTGTCTTCATCACGTTTCTCGATAAATTTTGAAAATTACAACTTTTCAAAATAGAGCGTTATATCGAGGGGGGTGGTCGAAAAAGTGGACCGATTCAAACCATTTTCGTCTCAAAAATTGCATCCTGCAAGTTGAGCGCAAATTTACATCAGCCAGACAGACCAGCTTAGATCGTTTCAGAATCATCTTCTGATATAATAAATCAAAGGTGGGTAAGCCCTTCTTAAAGTACACCTTACAGTACATCCGAGCAAACTTAAACTTGTACCACAAGCGGTGCAACCTTTGATTTTGTATTGATTTGCTCAGCAGGATGGGGAGGATAATCAATTCTTGGTTTCAAATAATAACCTTCAAAATCATATAATATATTGGAAATCATTGTTCATATGAGATTTTGATATATTAAATAATTTCAATATTTCTACGCCCTTAATCACTCAAAACTGATTATTATAGAAATCATAAAAACTTGTTAAGATCATTGATTCTTTTCGTTTTGTAATGAAATTATCGTTAAATATTAGTTCTCTGGTAATAGCTTCGTTTACCCATTGCCATCATATTCTTATTTCGTTTACACGTTATTTCTAAAACTAGATTAACAGACCAAGCGAAAGATAATAAGCAAAAGTTATAAAAAAAAAATAGAGAAAGAATCATGGAAACAGAAATTAATAAAATTAAATGATAATTTATTCTTTGTTTTACTTTTTGAGAGATTTTTCTATTATAATGATTTAGACTTTGCCTTAAGAAAAGAAAAAAAAAAAAAAACTTTAACTGCAGATGTAGAACAACATATAATGAGTTAAGTCTTTGTTATGTGAGTGTGTTTTTTTGTGCATGTATCATCATTAAAGTATATTTTATAATTAGTATGTGTTGTAAATGGATTAGAGAGAGATTCGCTTCCGGTCTATATCGATTTTATTTGATAAACTATCGAGGCATTCTTTTCAAAATTAACGTAGAAAGCGATTCGCGCAAAACATATTTTACTTGTAATGAGCAAACTGTGTGACCTCTTATCGACTAATGTAAGGCTTCCAAAAAGATAAAAGAAGTTCTCGTGTTTGCTGAATTTTTCAGATTCTTCTTTTTATCATCGAACACACAAGTACAAATATTTTAAAGCGATTTTGACAAGATTGTGTGATTTTTGTACCCTACATAACTTGTGGTACTAGCCATATTAAGTTTATGAGAACGTACGTAACGCGTACTAACATCACAATTTTCGAAATATTTTGATGAAATTACGTATACTAACGCGTTTTGGTCCAAGGACGAGTGCAGTTGAAAATAGCTTGAATCGGAACATTTTTTCAATCATTCCGCATATAATGGCTTCTAAAGAATAGCGTAATGTTGAAAATTTCGCGAAAAAATCGTTTAGCAATAGTTTTTCGGCATTTTAAATTGTTGCGAAAGCTTCGGATCAGATAGGATAATTTTTTCAATCCCTTGGCATATAACCGTTTCTATGAAAACTGAAACTTTGTAGAATAAATAGATATAATTTTCAATATTTTATGGTGAAAATTGATCCAGAAGAGAATATTGACAAAGAAATCAATCTTCCCGAATTTGGACCATGTAGATCTATTTTTTGAATACCACCACATATAAGGATTCCCACGAAGTGTAAACTGAATATGCAAAAAACGTCTATTTGTTAATAATTTTATGATGACAATTGATCCATAGTAGCAATTCAGCAAATAGAATTCACAATAGGGAATTTCGATCACACACTTATATCATTTAGACCCTATCTTAAATAATGGGGATATCATGAAAATAATGCGAAATTTTTTGTGTATAATTACCAAAACAAATGAATAATTGTACTAGACGAACTTTTCAAGGGTATTTAACAGTCGCCTTTGCCCGACTATAATGTCCTTAGTTACTTCCATCTGATTCTCAAACAACCAATTTCAAATGTTCTCATTCGATTTTCCAGCGCATCGCTGAAGATTCGCAATACTAATGCTAAGACTTAAGAAGAGGAGTGCAGAGGGCAAAAAAAAAAAAATAGTAATTTTTTCTTTTTTCATTATCACTTGTTTTTTTTATAAAAACTAAACTCTTGATCAGACAAATATCGGAAAAAAATTTATAAAAAAAAGTAGTATAAACAGAATATCGAAGCAAATTAGATAGATGGATGGATGGATAGCATAGGCCTTGAAAAAGAGTACATTTTGTGTCATCCTACTTTTTATTGCTATATAATTTCTACACAGAATTTTCATAATAAATCTCGTTTGCTTCTGATTAAATATTTTCATCGTTAAAAGTCTATTGCATTTCCGTTTTTTTTACGATAAACAATTTCCCGCTCTCTTTATTTCGAATTTCACTTAAATATCAAAACATCATCAACAAACGAAGCGAAAATCTTTCCAATTATAGCAATCTGCCGTATAAACGAAAGTATTGCAGAACTTTAACATTATATATATTATACCAGAAAGAATGTGTAACGTGTTCACGCGTACTCGACGTGAAACGGAATATTATCTCTATATGTATAATAGTGAAAACGAATAAATTTTGAACATAAAAGAGCTGCCAACATTTTGAAAAAAGTGATTGAATGAAATTTTGAGGTTAACTCCAATTTCTAGTCGTTCAATCGTATTCGGGGTCAATTAGGAGCATGCTTTTTTAATCGCTACAAGTAGCGGACGGACCGCTTCGGTACCAAAAGCATATTGAAGACTACAATTTTTGCATCTACTTTCGCCATATTCACTTCTGATATGTTCCCGAAACATTCCCCATACTACCTTTTTAGTCATTTCGCGATCTAATTTTGCTTTTTTACAGTGAAACAAGCAAGAATTCTATAGTCGAGCCAGATCGACCGTCTATTAGATTCCTCACAGCAATATATTATAAATTATTTTTATATATGTAAACGCATAATTTACATGAAATCCCCCATACTGAAGGATACTCATAACGCCAGCCAATGTGGTCCAAATCTGGCAGACTTAATTTACTTCCGTACGATTTTATTATTATGCAGTTGCTTACGTCATAACAAAGCATCGATTAGACTTTGTCGTCATAGAAGTATTTACTCTCATGAGAGCCGTTTTATATGGTGTGGCCTAAAAAATATTAAAAATTAGACCCATTTTGGCAAAAAAAAGGCTTATTTTTCGTTAGAACCCATGTTAGGTTGGGATCCAAAAAACAAACGTATGCGGTCCAAATTCATGGAGGTTAAATTTTATATATGACACGAATTTTCATCAAGAAATAGTGAACAGTAGGCTTCTTTACCATAAAAATGTTCGGTTTCCATCGGAGCGGTTATATGACAAAGGTTGCAAGAAATTGCGTCATCTGATCCAAAGTTTTTATAACAATATAGAACAACGAATATTACTATTAAGAAGGGAATTTTTGAAAATGACGCTAATTTTTATAAGACGTTATATGAGTAGTGGTGGAAAGGTACTGCGGTCCGAATAATTTTCAATAGTGCTCGTCCTTGCGCCAAAAACCTGTAGGTTACTGCGATCTGTGGGTTGAACGCATGAATTAATGGGCCGGACAAACGTCTACGGGATATAAAAGTTAAAGTCAAATATTCGAAAACGTCATTAGCGAAATTCTTTCGCATAAGCAATTCTCATTAATTCTTCACTAATCGTGGATGAATGAGTCGGAGAATCAATTCATTTGCGTTTTAAAGAAAGAATTACGAGCGCAAGCATCGATAAGCATAGATTTGTATTTATCCCGCATCGTTGCTGCGTACTATAAAATTCATACCTGGACTTGAATCAGATAACCGGTCACGCCCATTGTAATATGAATAGTCATTGCTAATACCTATACAGAAACAGAAAAGGAACTACGGATATTAAATAATGCACAAAGCAAATGTATAACGAGTGCACGCGTACGCGCACCTGTCTACATGTATACGCAGACCTTACGCTCCACAATGTAAATAATTTATTTAACAAATTACTAATGAAATAGTCAAACAGCATACAACCTACACTCTCAGTTAACCAGCTGTGGACGTACTTGCGAACACATAAACGTAGGTTTCCAATATAGCAGAAAGGCTCCATTAAATTCGTATTAATCATATCCAACATGTAAATATGTGTGTGCTTCGGTACGAGTACATTTATAAACGGCTAATGGGTAAACAAACGTAAATCAAATAAACAAAATTTGGTGTTTTTTTTTTTTTTTTTTTGTATATAAATTAGATTCGCGCATACATAAGAAAATTGAAATAAGGGAATGTATGCAAATGTGGCGAGTGAGGAAAGGGAACGGTTGCAAGAGCACACTGTCAATACCGAAGAACATAAACAAAAATCTCAATTTACATTACCGAACAGTATCGCTTGAAATTTATCCATAAATTTTATGAAAACTACGATTAATTTATTTTGAAACGAAGTCTACGTCAAATAACTTACAGTATATTATCATGCCCACCATCGAAGGATGACGAGTATATTCATTTTGTTAAAACGTTTGCAACGCCCAGAATTAAGCGTCAGAGACCGCCATAAAGTGTATACATTCTTGTTTAGCATCAAATTCTGAATCGATTCAAGCATATCTGTCTGTCCGGTTGTCCGTCTATTGCAAACATTCTCCTGCCCACAAAAATGATGCTATCAACTTCAAAATCGGCAGGAACATTGGAAATTCTTGTACGCAGTTTGGTATTGAAAATGGTTCGAATCGGTCAAAGGACAAACCCACAGTACCGTGCAAACTGAAAACAAGTCTGTTTTTCAACAAGAATAAAAAATCGGTTTTGTTGTGCACGCTACTCATAAACTATAGCAAATGTACAACAATGTACATCAATTGAGTTGTTGTACCAGTCGAAAAATGGAAAGAATGTATCGCGCCTATCGAATATTATAGTGAATCGCAATTTAGTGTTTTTTTCAACAGCTTTGTAGCGCGCAAAAACAGCCCTTAAAGACGCCATAAAGTGTATAAATTCTTGGGCAGTTTTAAATTTGGAATGCAACTAAGCGTCCGTCCGTCTGTGGCAAACATTCTCTCTTTAGCCTACAAATTTGCAAAAGAATTTGCAAGTGACATAAACTTTTCAAAGGACACGTTTACAACGCCCACACGACTATTCGATAAGAACTTTCGTTCGTTTCGAAAATAGAAAAAACCGGCTGCGCCTACTCCATATTATTGAACATGAATATGAGAGCATTTCTTCTTTTACTTATTTGCGTCTTAAGATAACGATGACGGGTATAAAATATTCGGTCACAACCGAATATAATTTTTCTTATTTCTTATTGTTATATAATAATTTATTTAGATTAATCGAATTAATTTTAGGGCTAATTATAAATGATCTCAATAAAATATTTAATTTTATTAAAGCGTCTACACCAAGAACCAATCTACACCAATCCAGTTTATCTTTAAGAAAAAAAATAAATAAATAAAAGCGAGAATCCTACTTGCTAGTGTCTATCTCAAGTTTTCGTTTTAGGATTTATTTTTTTGATCTAAGCTCAAGTGGGCGAATAAATTTTGGCCGATTGGCCGAAAACAATCTTATTTTATTCAATTTGTCGCCGCACAATAGCTATTAGGTCTCTAATCTCTTTTACAGAATATGCGTTAGGTGTCGAATGGAAAATTGATCTTTTGAGGCTAAATACAAAAAGGAATGATTCAAGCATTGCTTGAATCAACAATAATTGATCTATTGAAACCCATGTCGATAGGAATGAATAATGTCGACCAATAACGGCAGCGATGATAGGAGATTCCAGATTGAAATTGCAAATGGTTGCTAAATGAGGCCAAGTTCCCTCACCGCCAGTCAGTTTACAATATCATGACTTTTTTCATAGCACTCTTGTTTTTCGTTCCAAATGCCTCAGTTATTATCAATAGCTTTGCTTAATGATCATTTTATTTGGTTGCAACAAACCGTATTACAACAAGCCAAGCTTCGTCCGGACGGTTGTACAGTCGATTTTTTCGTCAATTTTCTCTTTACTTCTTATGCCTACGACATGTTAAGATTGTGTAGATGTATATAACGACCAGACGGACTCGAGACGTGTACCTACATTTTATTATATTATTTTATCGATCTGTGTTTGTCTGTTCCTCTATCTTGCGTTCAATCTGCTAGTCGCAGTTTTTGATATATTTTCATAGAATTTGATACTACGCCTCATATAATACCTCATTTTGTAAAGTCGTGATATGAGTAACCGTAGGGTAGGTGTAGCGTATTTAATCGTGAACCGTGAACCGTGAACCACAATAACATTTTTATTTGTTTTATTATTTAATTTTTCTTTTTTTTTTTTTTTTAGAAACTATTTATTATCAAAAGTTTTCCTTTCTTTCAGATGTTTTAACCACAATAGACACTGTCAACTAAAGATATAAAGAAATTATTTATTTCAAGCAAAAAAACAAACCGTTAATATTTGTTATATAGAAAACCAAAAAGAAAAATTAACAGGCAATAGAGAAGAAATATTCGAAGCAAAAGTATCAATCAATCAAATCTCATCTGTAAAGATCTTATTTAATAAACTGAAGCTATCAATATGAAATACATTACAACAGGAAGCGAGAGCAACGCGACAAATGCCACAATGATAACTAACAACAACAGCAGCAGCAGCAGCAGTACTAACATCACCTTCAATCACACCGGCAATAATTGTAACAATAGCTGCAGTAATAATGATAGTGGCAATATTAATTATATGGGTAATGGCGGACACAATAGTGCGATGAGCTCAGTAAACGGTAACAATACATTTTTTACCGATCAAGTGGATACTGTTACGAATCTTTTTGAAAGATGGAACGATTGCGAACGTACAGTTGTCATGTTCGCTCTGATGAAGCGTTTGCGTTATCCTAGTTTGAAACTCTTGCAATATTCCATTGATCTTACTTTGACCCAAAGCATGGGTAAAACATCTAATTTAAGCGCAGTTGTCATTGAATTGAATGCCAATAATCCTTCGTATTTGCAAAATTTATTAAACGCTTATAAAACATTTCATATTGGAGATCTAGTTGATACAATGTCAAACTCGCCTCCTGACAAAGATCCATTAACGACATGCTACGGATCGGATTTTCAAATTACCGCCACTAACGATGAAAGGAAATCGTATACAAGAAAAGAAGAAATTTTAGATGAGGTATTGACTATGTTGCCTTTACTTAAACCAGGCAACGAAGATGCTAAAATTGTCTATTTATCCTTAATACCGTTAGCTGTTAAGGATGTAATGAGACAAATTGTTCCCATCGATTTAGTGCAGCAGATCTTCTCCTATACGCTGATACATCCTGGTGTATCCAATGATGATCGAAAGTGAGTAGCACTTTATGAAGACTATATTCATATAAAGAGAGTCGGAATTCTTTTTTTCCTTTTATTTATATATATATTTATTTTTTTTGAATCATTATAGATCTCTCAATGTATGGTTACGTCATTTAGAGCAATGTGTACCTCCTACAGTTTGTAATAACAAAAGTAATGGTTCTGCTTTAAGTGCGGGTACGCAGCAACTGAATTATATGCCAACTCATCTGAACATGACAAGTGGTAGTAGTGGCCATCTATTGGATAACAGCAACGCAAATATGACCAGTTCTGGTTCTTCGGCGGCATCTAGCCTCTCTTCGTCAGCTTTGTCATCGATCTCTTCCACAGCCTCTAGTAACTCTGTGGCTCCGCCTCTAGTTAATTTAACACATAATTGTAATGGCACTTCAGCCACTCCTTCGATGGTAATGGGTGCACGCAATACAGATTGGCAAACAATTGCACCACCTAGTAGACAATCTAAAACAGTCGGATCAAATGTTGCTTTAACCTCTACAGACTGGTCCAGTTTAGTTACAACGAAATCATCTACAAATAATGTCAACGGTGTGGCGAAAATTGCCGATCAACTTTGTGATAATTTGAATGGTATTCCACTAAACGAATTAGCTTCTAGTCAAAATAGTTTAGGCCTTTCCATTGGCACTGCTCTGGTTGATTCCTTGTCCGTCACCGTAGATGCGAACAGTTCATCGTTGGTGAATGGTGTGGCAGCAGCAGCTGCAGTCGCTTCGTCTGTTGTAACTGTACCTGCATCTAATTTATTTGGAAATCAAACAAATCCAATCATTAATATAATTAACAATAGCAGTACTTGTGGTGGCAGTGGCAATATGAATGGTATTGTTGAGGATCATGACACGTCATTCTCTAAGAATGGTACTGAAATTTTGGATTTTGAACCTAATCCGAACGGCCTCAATAATCGTGATGCATGTAGTAATAATAACGGAAATATGGGACCACTGCAGGTACGTTGAGAACCGTTCTACTAAATATTACTAATGCACTCTCTTTACATATTATATATCGTTCTTAAACGCAAGTCAAATTTATTTGCGAAAAATACATTGCAAGTGACATTTCATCGACCTATGTCGCAAGAAGCTGCTTCATTTGTTCCTCGAAATTAAATAAAATCAATTTTCGTTGCTACGCTAAACGAAAGATTTGAAAGCCCTTGTATTTGACTGATGTGACGACTGAGAATACGTTCAGAAGGATATTTGTTAACCTAACACTGAACCGATAGTTGACGATCTTTGCAACATACTCTCATATATAAAATTGAAGTTATAACCGGCATTAGGCGATGGAATGTCTACCGTAACTGTAACTGCTTCAAAGCGAATATTTCGTAGTCTTGTCTGAAATCTATTACTTTTTTATATTCCGATACGTATTGTCATGATATGTATGATATGTAAACAGTATTCTCTTTGATTCTCTTCTAGTCTCAACAACAAGTTGATTATGCTTCAATGCTTATGGGCAATTGTAATGATCACTTAGACATAAATCGTTGGAGTTTGGATAGTAAATTTGCGGTTCTCAAAACACGTCGCTCGAATAGTCTTACTACGCAAACTATGTCTTCATCAGCCTCATCGTCCAATTCGTCGGTAATCACCGTTAATGACAATTGTTCTAATTCTACAGAAAATTTAGCACAATTTGCCAATAAGCCGCGTAGCTATTCACTTTCTATTGAGCATCACCGTAGTTCCCTTACTAACAGCGGCTCCGATACGCGCCTCGATGATTTTAAACCAAATTATATAAAGTTTCAGACGCGCAATGCCGGTATGTCCGGTATTGGTTTATGGCTTAAATCGTTGCGTTTACACAAATACATCGATCTCTTTAAAAATATGACGTACGAGGATATGCTAAATATTAGCGAGGACTATTTGCAAAGTTTGGGTGTCACCAAAGGAGCCTCACACAAATTGGCTCTATGCATTGAGAAGTTGAAAGATCGAGCCAGTAACTTAATGAAAATGGAACAGGAATTGTTAAGTAGCCAGCTAAAGCTGCAGGCAGCCGTAGAAGAGTTGGCAAATGTGGTGTTAACACCAATGAAACCTATAGAGGCTACAGCCCAAACTACGGGTGACGACAATGTGGCATTGCTATTTTTAAGAGTAGTTGATATGGGTAAAATAAATAGATTTAGCTTTTATTCTGTAAATTTTTGCTCATAAAAATTTTATTTTTCGCGCAGTTTGTTCAATTGTCCAGAATGATCCGTACGCGCTGGTAGATGACGATAATATAAGTGTTATTTTATGGATTATTGATCGGATGTTACACAACGAGGCATTTGTTAACAATGTCAATCAATTAAAGGAAATGAAATTTAAACTATCCAAGTTCAAAATGTCCTTGCCACCAAAAATGCATCACACTAAAAATAGCAGCAGTGGCAGCTTGAGTAAACCCAGGTTAGAATAGAAATGCGAATTGAAAGAAAGAATTGAAAAGATAATCAATATTTTTGCTTTCGCCGTAGGTGGAACGGTAAATCACGGAAAAGTGATCAAAAGAATGGCAGCAATGATCGCATTAATCATCGTAAAAATTCGAATGATACCTTAATTTTCTCTCTGAATTGTTTACAACAACAAGCGCAGCAGCAACAGCAACATCAGCAGCAATCGCAGAACCAAATAACGGACTACGATATATATCATAACAATTCAAACAACAATAACAATAATAATAATAATAACAATAATAATAATAATAGCCATCAATATAAAAACACATCCTATAGTAATTATCATCATCATCAACAGCAGCAACAGCAACAACAACAACAACAACAAATTAAGCAAATGCAACAACAGTTACAGCACTTTCCGACAGCAACATCAAATCCAACGCAGCAACATAGACGCTCTTTGAATAGCCTAATAATGGTGGCTGGAGGACCGCAGCATCCACAGAAAATGGTTTTCAAGGCGGGACAAGCTGTGCTATCGTCAAATTCGGCTGACGACTTGCAAATGGAAAATATGTTGAGAAAACAGCAGCAAAGTCAACAGCCCAGAAAAGCCAGTCTTACCTCAATGACAAACAGCAACAGCAACAATTTATCCAGCTCTTCTTTACTAGAACAACAACAACAGCAGCAGCAACAACAGCAACAACAACAGCAGCAACAACAGCAATCTTCGGTACCAAAGAGAAAATTATCGTCTGCTGTAGCTGGGGTTAGTAATGAGGATCAACAGCAATTAATTAACCAAACGACAGTCTCTACGTCCTCTACACCTCAAATTTTGATTACCTCCAATAATAGTAATAATAATAGTACTAACAATAACAACAAAAACAACAATAACAATACAAATCTTCTGAATAATAATTTATTAGTACATCAGCAGTTGTTACAACAACAACAGCAATTGCAATTGTTGGCTGCCGCTGCTGCGGCAGTCGGCAGCGTCTGCTGCAATTCCAATAGCGTCATTCATTGCAATATTTGCAATAGCAATGGTAGTAATTGTAATGCGACAACAAAAATACAATCATCTTCGATTCCATCCCATCATCCAAATCACGTACTCCCTATTTGTAACAGTTGTGGTGATCACAATAAAACCCTTAATTTAACGTTAATGTCATTAAATGAAAATTTTACTTCCATACCCAATGCAAATCCAACCAAACAACTTCAACCTCAATCCCATGAAATTGTAATTGCGGCCTCGTCAACTTCTTCGCCGCCTAATGCACTTAATGACATTAGCAGTCTCGAACAATTGGAGACTCTTTGTCTTCAAATGACCGAACAGGCCATTAATTGAAAAAATACGAATCGAAACCAAAAAAAACAACAAAAAAAAATTCGATGAAAAACCAAAAATATTCATTTAATTCAATATTTAATTGTTAACAGAGATAAAAGTCAGAGAGTCGAAAATCGAGCCGCGTCACACTATAAGCGCTATCTTTATTTTACTCAATTTACGTCGCAAAATGAACGAACTTTCCGATTATTGCCACTCTATTATTTGCTAAACGAGAATTTCTTTCAAATTGCTTAAAATATGTTATTAATTAACTTCACTTAACGTTCTTTTCGCTTTTGTTTAATCATTCATTCATTTTTTAACCATTCGTAGAAATTTTATGCTGCCAACGAGAGATTAAAGTACACCGCTAATAGCTCTAACATGCTGAATTTGGTCGATTTTAACTTTAGATAGAAAATTGCAAATAAAATTTGATTTATTGGATGAAAGGACGGACGTATGAAGATCTCCGCTGTAATAAAAAAACTTTGACCATCTGCTATGACTCAATTAATCCTTATAAGGTACCTTTTCACCATTGTTAAATCAACAACAACGTAAAAAATTACAAATTATGTGCTGTTCAACTTTGTTCATGTAGAGCTCTAACAATTGTATAAGAAAAACAAAAAAAAAAAACAAAAAACAAAAAAAAAACAGAAAAAGAAAAACGAAAAAACAAAACAGAACAAAAGAAAAAAAAAAAGAAAAAAAGTAAAACAAATAACAAAATTTCTGTGGAAAATTTTAGATGCGACGCTTATATCATATGCGATATAAATAATAGGTTTTAAAGTAGACAACGTAATCTGTAGAAATTTGAGAAATAACCAAAGACAAGCAATTTCTGAAGAAGAAGACAGACAAGAAGACAATGAAACGGTTTAAGTAAACTTTGTCATATATCTCTCTCGCTTAATTTCTTATCACGTTCACATAAGCTTATTAAGCTATTAATACAAAACTAGAATTCGATTCACTCTGCAATAACCATTGTCGTTGGGGATTATATATAATTATTTATCTCACTCTGTTCACTTCTAATAGTTTATTAGAAACTGAAAGAATATTCCATTGCATTTCTCTTTAAAACCAATTATATTAAATGTATTTATATGTACACAGATGTTAATTCCAGTCCTTTCCAGTTTTTCAGTTTTATTCGATAGAAGAGCATACATCATTTATTTTTATTGTTTCTCTCAATCAATCAATGCATTAATGGATCGTTTCAATTGGAAACTCTATATACGCCGAAGCATATCAATGCCAAAGAAATTCAATTCAATTTTTTATTTATTTGATCGAAATTATTTGCCCAATTCAATTCCTTTAATCTTTATTGCTTTTAGAAGAAGCACTAATTAATATTCAATTATTCATTAATTTCTCAATTAAATAGAGTCCCCCTCCGCCCGCCTATTCTATTTTATATATATATCACTGAAAGATGCCCATTATATATTATGATTATGTGTTCGTAGTTTGCATTCTGAACGTTGTAATAATTGCTATAATAAATTGAACTTTTTAGATATATACTCAGTACAATGATTTACCGATCAATTAATTTGCTCGATCCAATATAATATTTACCGCAGGATGTATGTATTTTCTTTAGAATAAAACAAATGAAATGTTTAACGAAAATTCGCTGAAAGACGAATATAAACATTTTGGAAAAATTAACATGAGGGGAGACAATTTTGTAAGAATTTTGCGATTCACATGGGGAAGAATCAAAGAGGCGAATCACAATCTTGTCCAAAAATTCACGATTATACATTATTTTGATGGTTAATTTAATATCGGAAAAAATTCTCAAAACATACGAATCAATTGATTCTGATGACATTTATTCTTCACAGAGCGAATGTCAGGTTTCCTACTTACTTAGCATTAATGAATTTTTTTATATCGGGATATGAACAAGTCCTAATGGTCTCGACTGTATAAAATATAATAATACAAATCGATCGATACATTAGTTATAAAGATAATCGATTATAGGACTAATGAGGTTCATTTGATGATACGCGCTGTAGCTGTGTAAAATCGAATGGTGTTTGGTATTAATGATATACCACCTAAATGATTAAATCTGACCAATGTATATTTAAAACATGTAGAAAATTGTAGCCAATGTTTTATAAAAAACATATATGTATATGTGTCGTATATGTTCACAATTGTAGTCCATTCATTTATGTGTTTATTTGTGTGCATGTGTGCATGTGTGTGTGTGTGTGTATGTGTGTGTGTATGTGTGTGTTGTGCGTTTACTTGTTATATTATTTATTAATTTCATTTTTTAAAATTTTCGCATTTATTTTTTATGTTCACTTTATTTCCATTTTTTTATTTTATAAAGGAAATTTGACAAATATTTGATCAGCAGTGCTTAAACTAATTTAGAAACTCGAAAAAAAAGAAAAATAATATTAAGATGCGGCGTTAGACATTTCTACATATGAACACTACTACAATCCCCATTAATGTATAATCAAACGAACCTCTCCTGTTTGCAGACACATACGCAAACACACACATACACACACATACACACACAAATATACACACAAATATACACACAAATACACAGAGACACACAGATGCATATATACACACATAATCATGTCCTGGAAACAATTTGCATGTTTTTACGTTGGAGTTAATTTATTAGACGAAGGACAAAAAGCAAGCAAAGCAAGACCAAACCAATAAACAAATCAAGTTCCGGAGAGCATCGAACAATGGAAATCGTGCAATGCGTGACAAAAGAAAATATTAACAAATGAGACTGACTTAGATTATTTCCCAACAACTAAGAGCGATATAAAATAGCGAGAATGCAAATGTTGGCAAATAAGCTGAAGCAAGACAACGTTTGCTTTCTAACAACCAAGTAATAACGGTAACAGCACGAAGAACGCGCTTGAGAAAGAAGCAAGAATGCTGCAAAAGGATAAATAAGTAGTGGAAAAAGAAGACCAGTACTACTTCTATGAATCCTCTAACATGGTACTTGTCTTCTCTCTTTCCCTCTCTCTCTCTTTCTTTCTCTATCTTTCTCTCCCCCTTTACATACACAAGTCATTTAATAATAGAGAATGAATGATGATAATCAATTTATATAATCCACTCGATATTTCTCGAAATGTTCGTCTATTTGCATCCATGATTACGTTAATGAGATTAGACGTACAATCCTGATGAATGTAATTAATAAGTTTGTAATAAGGATAACGTATGGGCAATGCAAAGAGTTTGTTTGCACTTTTGAAAAACAAAGTAACGAGTAGACGAATAACGATTTTCAACGAATAACGAGTACAAAGAGGTTTTTTTTTCCCCCCGCCGGCAATCGCAACCAAAAAGAGTGAAAGGAGCTAAAAATTATATATAGAACTTTACGGTATCAAGTGAACAAAATATACCAAAGAGAATTTTATGTAATAGATTGTTTACTTGATCCTTTAAAGTTTTTCAATTGAACGTTACCGTTACTAGACATAATCTGTTTTCCCTCTGTCAGCAAGCTTATTAATAGAAAGCGATGCGTTCCTGGCCATTCTCCATTTGCCTTTCGTAAACAAAAAAAAAAAAAAAAAAAATTTACCAATTTTTTATTTTTTTTAATTAATTTTTTTTTTTTTTTTTTGTTGCTAATAACTCTTTCAATTTAATCAATAGAGTAGCATTCATGTCAAAAGTTTTTAGAGATGTCCACGCTTCCTTTACGCAAATATGGAGTTATATGTTAATTGTGATTGTACAAACACAAGCAAATCTTTGGCTTTTTTTACATATACTTTATTCACGCATTTAGTTCACCAAATGCAAGGTTTATTTTCGAAATTTTTCGACAATTGCATCATCCGCCTGCTTTCTAAATTAAGAAATTTTCATCATTTTCTATGTACATATAATTGATTAGATATAAATTAACTCCTATGAGAGTTAGTCAAGTCAATTTTACATGAAAATAATTTTTCGCATAATTGAAAAACTAGTTCATGTGTATACACTTTTCACATTTATTTAAACATTCTTTTATATATAAGAGTAGTAGTCCCAAAACGGCTGTTAAAGATTTAACAATTATAAGAAAGCTACGTGTACGCTTGCTTAATTATTGATAAACTTTTAGACAATTTAATTTTTTTGATCCAAAAGCCAAATATTTTCAAAAATCTATTTTTTTAAATTATTTTTTGTTATTTTTAGAAAAAAATAAAATAAATTCTTTATTACTTGTAGAAAATATTGCATATTGTGCTAATTGTTGACATATCGATGTCTCTCCATTATATAGTGATCGAATTCTTCAGTTTTGACGCGGAAAACTCATTTAATGATTCACGTAAGCTCTAAAGGCGGCCTTAGTCGTCACAAAATTACTAGACAATTGTCGGAAATTAGTTAAAGTGAAACATTTCACTAGTAAATCGAAATAAATAAAGATTTAGAGGAGCAGCACTATAACTAACCAACTTAGTTGTACTCTTCAACGATATACTAGTATACTCAAGTACACGGCATATGTAATATGAAATTAGGTTATGATGAAGCGACTTGTCAAAATATGGTAAAAATATTTTCGAAAATGTATTATTATTATGGCAAATACACAGTCATAATAAAAAAATTTTATACAGAAATACGGAAAGGACGGACAGACTGACAGACCAGCCCTGACGTACACAGTTAAGTGGTTAATCATTTGCAAGCTATTGGTCAATTTTGATGTTGCCTTTTTCTTTTCGTTTTTCAATTGGCTGCGATGCGCGAGAGCGCAATTAAACGTAAAATTTTTATCATTATGATTATAAATATTAACTTTCAATTCTTAGAAAAAGTGTTTTGCTATAAATCTTCATAAGAAAATTCGGAGGAATTAGGTTTTAAAAAAAATGTGCCATGAATTAATTAATTAATTAATTTCTATGCAAAGGGAAAAAAGAAAGTGAAGATAGAATTTTTTTTTTTTTTTTATATGAAGAGTCACTCAGGGGATGTGTCACCTATACGTGCAGGCACGGTGGTAATTAGGAAGTGTTACAATCAGAGCAAGAATGTGAGAGAGAGAGAGAGAGGTGGAAGAAGGGAGAGTTGAAAAATTGTAAAAAATTAAAAGAAATCATTCTCTCTGCAATATATTAAAAGCATTCATCAAAATAAGAGCACAACAAAACGAAATAATAGCGAGTGGATAACTTGTGATAATTCATTCATTCTCTTGAATTCTAAAATATTTTGGATATATTGGATGGAACATTTTTTTTTTTTTTTTTTTTTTTGAAAATTATGTCAATTTCATTAATATGCTTACCTATTAAATGTTCATATTTCCTTAATTGTATTTAACTAAAACTCTATTTTCCTTTCCACTTCTATCATCTATTTAAAATTTACTTACGCCTTCATCTGTAGCTTAATTAAAAAAAGTAAACAAAACTAAAAATGCTGTTACCATCGCAAATTTCGAATTGAAATGTTCCATCTCATATATATATATATATATATATATATATATATAAACACTACTCTCTCTTCTAATACATTTTGTTTCTTTTAGGAGAAATAGTTCAACAATGGTTATTACAAAACAAGAACAAATCACAATTGCTGAAAATGAATAGAAAATTAGAACAAAAGAAAAAAAAATTCAAAACGACGTAAAGGTAAAAGCATATATATATGTATATGTTTTTATTATTATAATTATCGTGTATACTTATATATATATTTGTAGAGTTTATATATTTATTTAAATAATGATCATAAAAAAAAAAACAACAATTGCTGTTACGTTCCTTCTCTTCCTTACTTTCTCTCTATCTTTCTCGCTCTTCTTCCTCTCTCTTTCTCTCTCTCTTTTCTTCTCACTCTCACTTTCTCTATCTATATCTTTCTTTCTTTCTTTAGTAAAATTTAAAATAAAAAAAAAAATAAAAAAAATACAATTTTTATTAATATATAGATAATTATTCTCCTATAAAACGGAATGTAATTGCTGAATATTAAAAAAAAAAAAATAAATAAATAAATAAACAAAAACAAAACAAAAATTCACACATACAAAATTTTTACAAATTATCAAAACCAGAGAATAGAATAACAAAGTTATATAAACATTGTGCTAATTTTTAATTATTAAATAATAATATTAATATTAATAATAATATAATGATATAAAAAAACAAAAAAAAAACAAAAAACAAAAATACATATATTTAACACAATTAATAAATTATAGAAGTATTAAACTAGAAAACTCTAATGAAAAATGTACTGAAATGATTCAGCATGAAAATAATGTTTAATATGTTTAAAAACAAATGAAAAAACATGCAACAACAAAAAAAAAAAATAAATATATATATATATAAAGTAAAAAATTTAGCTCTTTAAGCTCTTTAGCCGTTTGTATCCAAAAAAAAAAAAAAAAACAAAACAAAACAAACAAACTTGAAAGCAGAGTTAAATCCTAACAAGAAAAGAAATTTTTTTTCTTTTTATTTATGAAAAAATAGTTTATTATTTATTTATTTAATACCACCCCGTATGTCAGTTTTTTTGTTTTGGTATTTGTCTCTGTGTATTGTGTAAATTTTCTTTTTCTTTTTATAATGTTTAATATTTAAGCATAATTTATTTTGTAATTTTATTTAAATTTTTATATAACGAAAATTGTGTGCTAACTAATACTGTTGGATCGTCATTGTTTGTTAAAGAAAAGAAGAAAACAAAAACAAAACAAAAAAAACAACAAAAAAAAGAAAAAGCAAAAGTAAAGTAAAAAAAAGCAAAAACATAAAGAAAGTCTTTTTAGTTTAATGTGTCTTTAATAATTTTTTTTTAAATATACATGATTTAATTTCAAATTTTTTCTGTCCGCTGAATAACGGTTAACCGTTTGTTGAGATCGAATTTGAAGAGAAAAGTGAAGCGTATCGACGAAGAATACCTTTCGTTCACATTAGTTTAGCTTTTTAGATAACGAAATTTGAGCAATAAATCGGTTTAAAATGTCTTCCTTAAAACATGTCCTGCTGAACTGATCTCATATTATTAGGATATTTATGGAAAACTATTGTGTATATTAAATTGAAATACGCATTAATTACCTTTCCTTTGAGATGTGCAGCGACTTGCGTATCCTAGATCGACGAGACTGGTTGAAGACTGCAATCACTTTGATGCCTCTGAATTGTGAACTGAGGCTGGTTAACGGTTCTCGTTGTCGAACTGTAGTACGATAGGATCGCATTTTGCACTGATCGTACTCGATTGCTTTTCTTATCAAGTTGGTCATCTCCTGCATCGCATTTACAATGGAAAACTTGGGATGTTAGCGGTGTATACATAACAAAATAATGGAAAGAAATGGAAAAAAATCAAATAAATAAAGAAATCAAATATAAAATGTGGCGAAGAAATTAGTGAAAAAATTAGAATCCATAAAAAAAAAATTAATAAATAAATTGAATTAAATATATAAGTGTCTATTTAAATTGTCCGAAATGCGCATTCGATAACGAGTACCATAGACCGTCTTCCGAATTATTTGTGATCGCTTGCTTAAGAAAATATAATCCTGCTAGAATTTTGTTTTATAGTTTAATCTCAGTCAGTTTGTATTCTTTTAAGCAAAAGACATTTAACCGAGGAATTTCTATGATCGTGCAATACTGCAGAGGAGAAGTTTTTAATGCTTAAAATTATTCCCAACTGATAAAGTTTTAATAGTCCTTACGGAACCACTACATCACCGCTAACATATTACTTTCCCCCTTTCCCTCTCTGTCTGTTTCCCTCCTTCCCACACCCTCTTTTTAATTTGTTTTTAATTCAATTATATGTTTTTTTTTTTATTTTTTTATTTAATTACTAATAGAGATTTCTTTTGTAACGAAATTCTATAAAACGTGTTACACAATTGAGAGAAAGTTTCGATATTTTTATGTCGAGCTTTATTCTTTGCGGTTCATAAATGCGAACTCAAGACATGTGATTTTTGCGTCAAATTCGCGACAAATTCCCAAGTTCGATAACATGGAGTAATGGCATAAATGTATGTCTGGATGATGTATCCAATCCATTACCTAACCTTGAAGCAATCTACATATTATTACCGTTCCTAGGAAGTTTCACTTGGTTTTTCAATTTTAAATATATAAGTGAAAGACGGCTTTTTTTTAGCTCTTGGCCTGTGATGAAAAAAATCTGGGTCTTTCGATTTAATAAATATATAGAATTTAAAAAAAATTTGCAGATATATCAAACACTCAGAAGGCCCACCTTTTATTATACCGATTAGAATCACTTTCTGGATCGATCTAAGCGTGATTGTCCGTCTATTGATCTTGTTTTTTTGCGTTCAACCTTCAAATCGCATTTGCATGTAATTCGATATACCGACATGTTTTGTCGAAAATTGTTCGGATCGGACCACCGTTCCGAGCACTTACGGCTTAAAGCATTCTTATGAAATGTCATTATATGAATAACTGTCTTAATCAAAAGGTTCTAGGGTATTTAATGGTTGTCTATTTGTTTTTGAACAAACGTTTTTCCAATCATTTAATCAGGCATGAGCTTCATTTCATATGCATGAAACGTAATCGTGGATTCGATATTTTCGTAATAAGTTTTAACGATTTTTATAGTTTATAGAACTATGGTTGTATTTGTTTTTCACCAAATCATGCCAAAATCCAAACAATATATTGAGAAAAGAAAATTTGATCCAAATCTCAATGAGAAGTGCAATAAATACCTAAATATTAAGGTTTTTAATAAAATGTGCTTAAAGTTCAATATCGTATCGAAGCCAAAAAAAATAGCAGACAATGGGAATTCATTGCACGGATTGGCCCTTTACATATCCCCCACTACAGAGTGAAAATATTTTATTCTATTTCTATCATTTAAATACTTACGGGAGACGCTGCGAAAGACTTATTTTTTAATTTACCGAAGTGTCTTAATTTAAATTAGGCATGAAATGCCATTGAAACTCATAGATAATAGTTTAATGTGGATGTAATTCAAAGTTTCGTATAATTAAAAGGAATGGAATCATTATAGGAGGTAACAGCCCATATCCTACATCACCCCACAGTTATTCATATATTGATTTTGCAATATAAGGCGTTATCTGGGGAGTGGTCGAAAAAGTGGATCGATCCGAAACATTTCCAATAGCGTTCGTCATTGGATTAGAACACGGCAAGGTACCAAATTTCATCAAAATAACTCAAAACAGACAGACGGACAGATGTCTCTTGGGGTTTAACGTCCGCACCTGGCGTGATGCCTTAATCAGACGGGTTGCCTACAACCATAGGCACTCATTTAAGTCGAATGATCACCCCCCGGGGGGAAAGACCATTTGGCCATACCCAGTGCGCTGTCTGAGAACCTCGGGGTAAGAAAGGCCCCCTTATTAGACAGACGGACAGACAAAATGATACTGAATTGACCGGCGTAACAAATAGTGGGATTATCTCGATTCCTTCCGAGTGCTGCATACAAAGGGACTTAACGCTATTACCGCTGGTGGTGGGGAATGTTAAAAATCGTTCATCTTTTTCTACAATTTTTTTTTTTTAACTCAAAAAAAGAGAGAAGAAAGCTAAAGTGTTTTATGTGCGCTAACAACTAAACAAGGAAAAAATAAATAAAAAAATAATCATATTAAGCAATTTAATACATTTTAAAAAAAAGAATAAAACCGACGACATAAACAATCAAAAATAAAATTGCTTTCTTTATTTAAAAAAAAAAAAAAAACATAATTTCTTAATTAAAAATTTATTTTATTATTAATTTATTTACTTGTCTTAATATATTACAATATTTTCAATTTATATGTACATTAGACTTATAAAACACGAAAAAAAAAAACTATTTTGCTACTAGGGAGGTATGATATTCGGTTCGTTGAAAATTCCGATTCCCATCCGCATTTTCTTATCGTTCGATGTTCGATAATATTGGGTTGGTGTCATTTATGAGTATTTTTATATAGTAATGCAGTCGGACCGTTTGATCGATTTGACCCATTTTCGGCATCAACCTACCTGCAAGAACTCGCAATCTTTTTACTAAATTTGAAGTAGATATCCTAATTTTTGCGATCTGGAAAATGCGCGTACGGACGGAATGAGAAACATGCCTAGTCCGTTTCAGAATTTGATACTTTTAGTTTGAGTTTGTGACGAAATCTTCTCAACTTTGCTATTTCCCAAGCAGCAGCTTTCTATCTTAATTTCTATGTAAACAGGTATAATTCATGAAAATTATTGTAATTAAACAAGGAAGAACATTATAGTTGGGCAGGACCGGTGATTAGATACCCTACACCATTTCGCCTAGCATAGTCACTCAATGGTTTTGATAATAATACATCAAAAATTACATATTACTTTCATGCAAAGTTGTACTTTTCATGAAAGCCCACATGGGGGATGCCCCAAACATCACATGACGTGGACTAAATTTTGCAAAGTTAATTTTTTTAGTAAAAATTCTATTATTATTCAGTTTCTATCATAAAAAACTAGAAATTAGACCTTCTTCCCATTAAGGGCTTGTTTTTCACGATAATCTCCATGCATTTTGGGGTCTAAAAGATGGACTTTTGTGATTCAAATCCCATCCGTTAATTTTTTTTGCTAAATTAGTTCTATGGATCAATTTTTTTTATAAAATATTAAATATAAAAATATTTTTTGTAGGCCTTACTGTTCAAGATCTTCTTCTGAAATCTTATACGAAGTGGTGTGCATGAAATAGACCTATATGATTCATATTTGACCCACTTCATTTTTATGCCAAATAATTACCATGAACAAGTTTTCATCATAAAAAACATTTAGCCTTTTTTGACATATAAGAGAATCCTTATATGCGGTGGTATCCAAAAAGTACGTCTACGTAGTCTAAATTCGGCAAGATTGATTTCTATGGCAATTTACTACTACGAACCAATTTTCACCATAAAATATTGGAAATCATTCCTTTTTACCATATAAAGATTCCGTGTTCGTCGGAACGATTAGATGATACGAGAGTTCCAAATATTGTCCCTGCCGAACCAAATTTTTCACATCAATTTTGAATGTCGAACTACCATTACTCAGCGATTTTTGTCGAGAAACTTCGAAAATTGTAATTATTTTTCAAACTAAGACATTGGTAAGATCGAAAAAAATGGAGCGTTCATCCTTATGTGAAAGTTCATCACATAAGGACGCAAGCAATTGTGCGATGAACACAAATTGCATGGACAGGCGAGCTTAGTTCTAGGCAGAGTTATCGGCCATATCCTGCTCTAGAAGTGGCGTATGGTATAACAATTTCAGATGAATTATTTACTGAAAGAATGTTTTTAAAATTTCAAAATTTCTCAAAAAAAGAAGAAGAAGAAAACACCAATTTTGAACAAAAGACAATTAAATTAAAATAAAGGGCTTCTCGACGTAACACCTTAAAATGTTTCTTGGAAAAGATTTTTCAAAATAAAAGTCTTAGCATATTCTCTTTTCAATTGAATGTCGATTTTTTTTTAATTTTCTTTTATTGCACAATTATGAAAATATCGTTTTCTGAATTTTATGAATATTTTTTTTCTATTCAGTAGATTTGCTAATAAATTGAAAAGCAATGCTACAGAGAATAATTGAGTGATATCAAAAGAAGGGAAAGAGAAAAGAAAAAAATTTACTCAAAATATATATGTAAGATGGAGAAAGTAAAAAAGGTCAGGGGGAATGGTAGCGCGTAGATCTTGAGGTATATAGGGCGTGTTGACGAATTATTTACTTTTTAGTCCACGTAACGTATACCTTCCTTTTGTAATTTTGCTTTAGTTTCGATTAGTTTGATGTGGCGCAAGAGATCAGCGATTTGTTCACGTATTTCATCGCGATATCTTTTACCTTCGCCTAATTCTTCCATTTCGGCCAACCATTCCGCACGTTCATTGATTTGATCCAACACTGTGAGAGAATTGTGATAAAATTAAGGAAAAAAAGGATAAGAAAGCATACTTACATTCGTTAATAATGTCTTCATTAGTGATGTCAGTGGTTTTTGATTTTGGTTTACGTAACGGTTTCAAACAGGTTTCGGATATATGCAAACCGGACATGGCTTCTTGCAGCAATTTCTTCGCTTTCTCCGATGGCATTTTAGCGTCCGGTTTCGGACGATAACGGGGCAAATCATATGCACCGCTTGCTCTTATAGCAGCCAGAGATTTGCGTTTAGCATTTCGAGCCTTTTTTAGAATCTCCAAGGCTGCCTTATCCGGATCCATTGATGTATTAATACGAGGCGGCTTTGGTTTCGGTAGCGGCTCACCATTACGTATATGATAGTCAATTTGTTTACGCATCAACATAGTCATTTTTGATTCTTTCATCAATACTATGCGAACGAACGAACGAACGAAAACTCATCTTCGAGCATCATCTATATGTAAAGCATTCTTGATTATCTACTTACGTCTTATCAAGTCTGCTGTTTCCTTGGAATATTCATATTTTGGTGTATGAAAGAGACCACCTTGAGGTATACGGGTGCTAGGCCAGACACGTGCCTCAACATTATTAGTGGTCTGAGGCGATGTAATTGAGTCTGAATTATTAGCAACCGTTAGTTTTTCCGATTTATTCATTTTGCTATTGGTATTATTCAATATTATAGGGAAATTTGTGATAAAAAAAAAAATTATTTTTTTTGGCTTTTCAAGTTGAAAATCCGAAAAATTCCTGATTACTTGACAAGTGCTAATGCGTTTTCTTTCTTTGGCATTAAACAACAACAACGAAATACAAATCTTGGTAAACAAAATAGTTTTGATAAGCCGAAGTAGCTAAGGTAACGGCTAACGGGACAACGTATTAAAAATATATTTGACGATCTAATGAACAAGTTTATATAGAAAACCTGTATAGAAGTTTAGCGATGCTCATTACTTTAGGCAAATGTATGAATATATTGACTTAAAATTTATTGTGAGCCGATTGACATAAGCTCGACTTATCACTGTAAAATCACGTAGCTCCAATTCTATATATATATTTTTTTTTGTTAATATAAGAAGTTTTTTATAGCTTTTCGACAATTGTATTTTTTTTTTTTTTTTATAAAAAATTTATCGCGATCGATCTATTCGAAATGTGGCAATTGCGAGAAGGAAAATGTGAGACAAGAAAAACCGAACTTCTTATTAATAACACTGCTTTTCTAACTTTTCCTTTAAAAGATCGCTTCGAAAAGTCCATTTTTCTGATAATAGATCTGCTGATTAGACCTACGTTAGCATATTATTAGGTAACAAAACGGGGCACTTACTACTGCATTTAGGTCGCAAACTTGATATATATGTCATATGTATGAATACACAGGAGGTGATAGAGTGCAAGATGTGAAATTGTACAGGGTGAGCGCCAAAGCAGCACTGAAGAGCGATCAAAAGCGATTATTTGAATATAATCACAAAAGCTTTGTTAGATAGAGTCATTCGTAATTTTAAGCGGACACCTACACCTCTTAAAAAAAATAATTTTTTTTTTTCTTTTATATGACAAAGAATTCAAATATTTCTATTAATAAATGAAGCTTTTGAATCGTTGCGTTTGGTCGTTTTATTATTTATACTATTAACGCCGCTAGAATAAATACTCGGAATATATATTAGTTTTTATAAACTTTTTTTGTTTTGTAGAATTTTTTTAGTTTATATAAAATTAAAAATAAAACCCACCACAGGGCGATTCTTCGATACCTGTCACCTAGGATTGCAGATTCACATTCAATTTGTTACATGTTCTCCAAGGAGCTGGTTCGGTATCATTTCTATAAAAGTTATTCCCACGCATCTGATAACTTTCAAATTTATTTTTATTTATAATAATTTTTTTTCTTTCTTAATTACGTCTTTTCTCAATTTTTACGTCTTTGCGATCACCAACAGCAAAAAGGTACACGTGTTAAATAACATTCAAAAGTTCAAGCTAATAAAAAAAATATGCATTCAATGGGATTCCCATTTTATCGGTATTATGGGTGGGTTAAAGTTAGTTAGTCGCCTCCCCTAAGTGACAGGTATAAATATGATAAATTAAATTGATAGTGTAATGGTGGACAGAGGATGAGTGTGTACAATAAAATATTTTGCTGCTGATTGTGTGAGAAAAAAAAAATAGATTCAACAGGCTGGCATATGGCAACGGATTTCACCAGCCGCCTCAGCGCAACGATTTCTTATAAGGTAAGCACTCAATACTTCGGCAACTTCATGAGGACGATCTTCGTGGACAGCATGGCCGCAGCGACCTAACACTTGCATTTGGAAGCGGCCTTGCATTTGACCAACGGTTAAGGTTTTATCCAGGCCATCAATGCTGGCCAATAGCAATTGTTTCGGTAAACGCAAATTCAAAAATTTCTCGCTTAAGCCCGAAAACCATCCGACCCAATATTTCTCAGATTTCGAAAGATCGATACGCCAAGTATATCTAAAAAATTATTAACAATTTCTTTACTATTAACAATATTTAATAAATTATTAATGCAATTATACTTTTTGTTATCCGTTTCGTTAGTAGTTGGGGGTTTCTTAAAATCTGGATTCTCTGGAGTCACGTTATTGCTTTCTGCATTAGTTTCATTAGTAATTTCTTCATCTTCAGATATACTAAAGTGATGCATAAATTTCTGTGTAGAAGCACTACTGTCTTCTTCCTCTGCTGACAGTGGTAGTTCATTTGTAGCGAGTTTTTTCGTTGTGCAACTAATAAGTTTTTATAAAAAAAACGAAAAATTAATTTGTTTTCGGTTTTTTTTTTTTTTAATATAAATTTACTTACTTGATTATCTGACCCGGCATAGAGATTTTAGCACTGTCTACATTGCGTATTTGGCCGCTGCGTATACACCATTCAATGGCATTTGGAATACTTTTAAAATATTGTGGTCGTGAACGCAAGAAACTTTGCATACTGGCCAATGCCTCCATAGCGGTACCTTCGACTACATCGATAACAGTGATACCAACTAAATTTGGTATCAATTCCATATGGGCAAAATGCACAGCAATCGCTCCACCCATCGAGTGTCCCACAACATAGACAGGTGGCATACTTTCCGGATATAATTTCAGGATCAAGTCACCGATATCTCTATTGTGGGAAATTGGAATTCATGAGCAATTACAATCTACTAAATTATGGACTAACTACATGAAGAAAAAAAAAAAAATGGCCAATAAAACAATCGTAAATAGTTTGATTGCTATACATCTTTAAGAAAAAATAAATCTATCATACAAAGAAAGAAAGAGTTAATCCTTCTTGAAAATGGAAGAGAAAGTTTTTGACGGGTGTAGTTCTAATTAAGATCTTGTATGCCCTATTAACAGCAAAACCAAAGCGGTTTAAACGTACAAATGCAATGCCTATGGCTAGTTCAGATATTGGAAAAGGGTAATCTATGAAGAAATCGAATGTACTTAGCCAAGGTATCAGCCGATAAATCGTCATCTTCATCTGTGTGTGTATCACCGTGACCGCGCAAATCGATAGATAAACACTGACAGTGTATCATGGTCGTGATTTCAGACTATTAAGAATTAAGAAAAATAGTTTGTTCATGAAATCAATTTTTTTATAAATTCCCTTAAAAATACCCACACAAAAAAGTGCCCAAGTCAATCCTGAATAGCCACCGCCATGTAACAGCAACAAAACCGGTCCCGGCTTTTCTGGCTCTTTAGTACGATAGATGCAAAAGGTGCGCTTATCATCGATAACAACGTCTTGCTTCTCAGCAAAGAATTGATTCCACATTGATGGTTTAAAGTCCCGTATACGCGACTTTTTAAAGGAATCGCTAAAAATATCGAAATGAAAATTGATTTATTTAAGCGATCTACGTTAAGTTCATATTGTTTTTTCATTTTTTTTCCGTTCTTTGATTAGCTCATTATTTACCTTCTTCCGATGCGACCGCTGGGTATGGTTGGAGGCAAACGACCTTTCAATAAAGTTCTTTGTAAATTTGACATTTTCGGGTTTTACTTTTTTCTTTTCTTGTGTATATAAAAAAGAAATTTTTTCCTGTCCTTGTCTTGACCTTAAGGATTTTTTCCTTCTTCTTTTAATTTTGATTTTGGACAAAAAATATTTTACGGAATCTTAACAATTTTTTCCTTTTTTTCAATTTATTGAAAATCCATTCGACCGTGTTTTGTTGCCGTTCCGTTTCAGCTGTTTTTTTCTTTTTTACCGCAAAGACGCAGAGCAAAAAAAAGAAATAAGGCTGCCAAACAATTTTTCTTTCCTCGGTTATTATAATATATGAGAAAAAAAAAAAAGAAAAAAAACCATTGACAGTAAATGACAAAATATGACATTAGGACAACATTACGAAATACGAATACGAAATACAGTGCAGTGAAAACATGAGTACGTGGTAAAGAAATCTCAAAGTAAGAAAAAAATAACTAAAAAAGTCATGAAATACGTAAGTTTATGTACTTCCCTTATCGAATCGAATTCATTTGTCTGCCATCTCTTTCTGGCTCTCCATTCGCTGATCATAATTTTTGAGCCCACAAAAACCGCGATATTTGACCTATAGCCTTTTGCTTGAGTTACACAGGGCAAAATATACATTGATTTTGCAAAGATTCAATTAGAAGCTTACATATACGGTATGCAAAGATATGCATCATAATATCTGGATTTCTAGACTAGTTTAGTCTGTCAAATGCATACGAATTTACATAAGAGAAATGCAGTCATACGTTCGCTTCGATGCTAGGTAAAGAAGTCTTTCGGCGATATCTTTTATGAATATATTTACTTTCATTAAAAAAGCGGTCAAAGGTTTCTCGTTGCTATCAAACCCATCACAAGATGGGACACGCGTTAAACGCCATAAGTGCATATGCATTTTGCATCATGCACGAACTGTTCAATTGTTCATTTTCAGTTGTCTTTGCTAAATGGCTGAATGCGAAAGTGAAACCTAACTTTCAGTTATGTAATTACCTCCACTATTGTACTTGTTTATGTATACTTAAATATGTAGCTAGCATTGCTCGTTTCATCGCTGCAATGGTTTGGTCAAATTTTAATCTTTTTGCATGCATTTGCATTAACAAACAAAAAACAGTGATGTATTTAAAAAAAACAAAAGATCATATGTTTAATAAACTAACATATGATTTTAAATTAATTATCTACACTTTTATTCAGAAATAAGAAAAAATGAGAAACTAAATTAAAATAAAAAAACTTTTTTTTTCCCTTTATTAATTGCATTTTGCTTCAGGACATCACTTTTCGAAGAAACTTTTTCGCTTTATTAGTATTTATGTAATCAACATCCATTGCTTTAGTAATGTAATTGAGCTATATATTCATGTGGCCTTGCGTTTTGCATCATGTAACAATGAATGAAACATGCAAATGCAGTCATTATGTTCAGCGCAATAGGAACCATATATATTTTCAAATGAATTTAAAAGTGGTACCGATCGATTCTCAAACGTGTGCCAATGGAACTCTAATATTGAAACAATTCTCGAAAATCGGAATAAACTTATATATATTTCTTTATAACCCTTGCGACACGTATTCGGTTAAAAATCAATCTAAAATTTAGCATAAATAAATCACTTAAAAAGTTTGATCGAAACTTGTCCAAGTAAGGCTTACGAATACATTCTAACAAGAGCAAAACATGTTTCGATTTAGATGTACACTCATCTTTTTTTGATTTGGTAGATACGTTCGTTGGAAAACCGTGCAAAAAAAATGTGTAAAAAAATACGCCCGACATATGGTAAATTTAGGGATATGTTCCACGACATCAAAAATCGTGTAAAATAGAAAACCTCTAAATATTTTCTTTGGAAACCGTGTAAAAAAAGTAATAGTGAAATCCATAATATTTATAAAACAAAAATAATTCGCTATTGCTATTAAAAGAAAATTAAAATTAGTGTATAGTGAAAATTCACTTTTTATATCAATTTTGAATATCCAAGTACTATTACTCAGCGAGTTTTGTCGACAATGTTTGAAAGTTGTAATTATTTCCCATACGACGATTTCTCAATTAAGGTCGAAATAGTGCATTATATCTTACACCACTTGTGGTAGAGTGTACATTAAGCTAGCGCGGACATATGTAACACGCAGAAGGGCTTAAGATAGACGCACCTTTTATTATACCCATTGTTATCTGAATTGATCTAAGCTTGTCTATGCGTCTGTCCGTCTGACGTCTGTCCATGTTATTTTATGTTCTTTGTATTTGATACACTGACGTGTCTTGGCCCAAGGATGAACGCTATCAAAAATGATTTGGATCGGTCCACTCTTTCGCGCCACTCCCCATATAACGCCCTTTTCTGAAAAGTCGTTGTTTGGAAAAAAATTACAGTTTTCAAAATTGAAAGTAAAAGTGGTTAAGTAGTAGTAGTGTTTGGGTATTGTAAATTGGTATGGAAATTTTGGAACGGCTGGGGTAATTTCACACGACAAAAAGGTGTAATTTTCAATGCTTCATGAAGAAAATTATATCAAAATAGTAATTTAACATTTAAAAATGAACTGTACCAAATTTGGACTTTCTCGTCCTATTTTTTGGATTCTACCCTAATAAGGGTTTTCAGGAAAATTGATCCCTTGTAGAGCAGAAAAGTCTAAGTTTTAATAAGTGGTGATGAAAATTGACCCATAATATTATAGTAATTTCATACAAAAATGAACTGTACAAAAATTGGACCATCTACGCCTATTTTTGGATCCTACTCTATGAAAGGGTTAAACTTTTACTACACAGGTGGCTTTTTGGCCTCGCTTTCCTATAAATACGCACATTTAATATATGCCTTTCTATACAAATAATATATAATTTTTGTGTTCTATAATAAAAGTAACAATTGTGTTAGACGATGTGGTATAGGATTTTTAAGGGCCGGCCTTACCCGACTATAATGTTCTTACTTGAATTTCAATACCGTTCGTCTTTGGGTCAAAGTACATCAGCGTAGCAAACTTCATCAAGATATCATAAAAAGTGCAACCTGTAGATTGAATATAAAATTGCATAGATGAGACGGACAGACCTACATGCAGACAGACGTACTGACGAGCTTATATAATACAAGGTGAGTGCACTTTAAGTCCATCTGGGTATTACATACGTCCGCACAAAGTTAAGATTCCTTTTATCACAAGTGATATAGGGAATGAGAAGCGGGAAGCGACGAAACTGGTAGGACTATGTATGGTGGCTGTACTTGCATAAACACATTTTAATATCGCCAAATTAGTCGTCTCAATGATTCAATGTATGTTATATCGAATAAAATATGAAATATCTTTAAAAAATGTTCATCAAGTTCATTATCCATGATGAATAATAATAGGTTTAATGCACTTTTGCTGTTTTGCTATTGTAGTACGATTACAATTTTGTTCAGTACTTTATCATTGGTCGTGTAATGTTAACACTTTCCATATGCTTTCGATTTTAATTTTAATTAATAAAGATATTATATATAAAACAGACTCTTTTATTAGAGAATTTCGAATTGAAAGCATAGCGCAGCAAAAAATTTGCATCCATTCTCAGTGTCGCTGAGTTCTGATTTTTTTAAAGGAATCGTTATTGTAATATATAAGCATCAAAAGGAAAGTGAAATTTCAATATAATAGAACGAGTATGTGCATTTTGTTAAATGTAGTCGTGTCCTTGAGAACTGAGAGACTGAGAACTAGGATTGTGATTAATTTCAACTTTCTTTCTTAATTAACTCGATCCAAATTCCAAAAACATGTATAAATTGTGTCGACAAATAGAGAGAAAAACGCCGACTAAATCAAGATGTTTATCACTAACGTATGTCTAATATGAGCTCTCAAATACTAGGTGCCGAAACACCCCATTTTTCAGTAAAAAGAAAAACAAAAATCTCGTACCTATGTAGAAAGCCTTTCTTTCTAAACTCTTTACATAAATCCTACACTCGTGGTTTAAAGATATATTTGAGTTTTCTGCGGAACTGTTACTTGTACTATCGTTCAACGCAGAATTGGACTATTTTGAGAAGCAATCTCCATATAATACCTCGTTTTGAAAATGCCTTATTATCATTGTTATTATTATATTAAATTTATAGTCAGAGAAATAAATTTATAGACGTAGGTCTTAGAGCATTAGCATTTGAGTTTATTTGCTTTTATTGAAAGCTCTACTAGATCTCGAAACCCTTAGCCTATTCGACCACTCAGGCGGATGATATATAATAATTTGTCCTTTTTCGTATTTCTCGACATAAACCATAATGATATAGGCGTAGATATGAAATTTTAAATGAATGTACAAATTTTGAATGTGGTGGAGCAATTTTTTTGAAAGTACTCTCATGCAAACTTTATTACGAAAAGAATGCCTTTCCATAACGAGGAGGCCTAGCTTTTCGTATATTATGTAGAAAGTTGGTCTATGAAAGTAATTTGCCGTATAAATTTACTATTGTAAGTTCGGAATACGTAGGTTTACATGGTTTACAGGTTTTCATGTGAGGCTTCTCATGAACAGCACGTTTTGATATCGCATTAAGGCCTAGTTTTTGCTACTTTATAACGCGAATATGTGAAGTGTTTTATTAGGTTGCGCGATATAGGGAATTTTTTAGCCGGCCCTGCCGGAAAACAATAATTTAACTTGTTTTAATTTAAATTTTTCTTTCAATTCAATTCTTAATTGTTGTCCTTTTTCTTGTACCGAAAATCGATGTTTGTGCGCATTATTCATCACCTCATTTCCGACATTTGAAAAAATGTTTGAGGAGCTCCATCAACTATAGATTTTCTGAATGAAATTTTTCACATATAATCTTGAATGATTTGCGTACATTTGAAGAATAAGAATAATCCGTTGAGAAATGCAGTCATATGTTGAGCGCTGCCGATTAAAACATTTCGTATATTATTATGTATTATTTTGAAAATTGTTTATGTTTTCTAAACCCTGCAGGCGAATTACGTCCATTTTCGATTTTGAATTATGACGTTCGTTAAAGAATCCATATTATTGTGATCTAAAAGTTATAAGACTTTGTCTTCTCTTACTATCGTGATGTGGTACTTTGTGGTTCGTTCTTATGTTGAGAATTATGATAGATTTGCTTAAGATAGACCCGCCTTTTATTATATCGATCGATTCAGAACCATTTTATAAATCGATCTCAGCTTGTCTCTACGTCTATCCGTCTGATGTCTATTCATGTATTCTTGTGTTCAAGATGCAGTTTGCAATTTTTAAATTATATTGATGAAATTTGGTACACAGATGTACTTTGGCCCAAGGACGAACACTATTGAAAATGGTACGAATTGGTCCATTTTAATTCATAGTTGTGTTTCAGCAAAAACTTAACGGTAGTGAATTTGGATCACATCGGTCTATTTGTTTTGGAGAGAAAATCCAACGTTTAAGTATGCGAGCCTTCGTGACATTTATGGTAAAAATAATTTGTACTTCTTGAAGTATTATTACCAAAACGAGCTGCTAACTGTATTAGGGGAATTGATGTAAGGCATGTAATAGTCCACGTTGCCCGACTATAACATTCTTATCTGTTTGTACTTTATTAATTTTTCGAAATTCTTTCACCAGAAATTCAATTCATATCATCCACAACTGATTCCGATCCGTTTGACTTCTTAAAATTCTCTTACTATTGCTGCGGAGATCAATTCATTGTCTCTGAACGTTAATCTTTCTGTCTATCTCTCTTTCCTTCTTGGATAGCTATAATTTATTGAACTGTAATCCATTGCAATATATTGTCTGCTTTACCATGACAAGAACATAGCTTTTTCTTTCGTCTTAATATAGCTTTCACGGTGAACGTATTCTCACAATAGATGATAATATAGTTCAGTCTTTCACAAATTTTTCAATTTTAATAATGTCTTATATTAATGATGATCGATCGAGCCAAGTAAGTGATTCAAATTTTTGCTATTACTGCCGATCAAAAAGGCATGTACTTCCTCAGGCCTCTAATTAATGAAATTAATATTTTCTTCACATTCTCGATTTTATTATATGAGGTAGGCTTTCGCATTGAACTTGAGCTTAAAGTGTAACATACATGTTGGTCTCATTAAGGAAATGGAAAAGTTGTGTTAACCAATTATCAATAAAAAATAAGATAAAAATTCTGATAGCGAAGATGTTATAAAAGTGTACATATTTTATTACCTTTTCGTTTTTTTTTGTGATCATATATAAAATGATGAACGGAGAAATGGTTTAATCATTTCAATTCTAATCTTTGTTTAAGCACTATTTTGACTTAGAAACTTAACTATGAGTAAAAAAAGTAGTATGTTAAATATTAAAAATAAAAAATAAATATATATAAAGAAAAGAAATGTAATTAAATTATATTATTTCAGTTATATACTTGGCGATTTTCTTCTCTGCCTTCGTTTGCACTCTTGCCGCCGAGGATTGCAATCCTGAATCAGATGGCAAACCGGTTTGTTCAGAGCGTAATAATGGCATGAGATTTCGCAATTACTGGGATCCTACGAAGTATTGGTCGTGCAATGACCTGAAAGCTGTATCGAATGGTTGTCAACCTTCTAAATTATACGACGAAAAATCACAAGATTGCATAAATTGGTATGAGTGGGTTTGGAGTCATCCGTGCCCTGAATTAAGTGCAGGCGAAATATTTTAAGTTAAATATTTTAAATTCCATAAGATTAATACGCAGCGTATGAATCATCAGATATTACGAAGATCACATAGAGCATGTTTAAAAATACCATAAATTCCCCCTTTCTAGTTGAGCATAATTCTTCTTAAGTGTCGTTTATTTATTTTGCAATTATTTACGTATACCCTCATAGGCATATAAATGGATATACTTTTGCTCTAAAAATAAAATCCTTTATTTGTATAGATATCTGTGCATTTACAAACTCATAATAAAAGATCAAGAATTAAAGTAGGAAAACAAATTAAAACAAAAACAATAATATCGGCTCATTAGAACGAATCACGGACATGCAGCATCACTAAATAATATATAAGGAGTTTTGAAAGCCATTTGTCGCGGTAAGCTATTCTTCGAAGTGTTTTTCGAATCAGCGGTTTTCACCTTTGCAAACTTATAAGTGAAACATCAAAATTGAACTTTTAAAACGAGCCTTGCTAGTTAGGCGCAAATCGCAGTGTAATTGTAGGCTGAATGGTTGGTTGACCTAATGATTACAGCAAAAATGGATATAACTTTCTTCTTTTTCTTCTCTTATTCAGCAAATCAACAACTGAAAATTCGCTGAGATGTGTCAGGATATGATCTAATTCGTTACTACCATAATATATATATATATATATGAAATATATATGTTTTTTTCTCGGTAAAGCTTCACTCCTTTCATAGATGTTGTAATCCATTCAACTACTCTGTGCTGAAATTTTACTACTAAAAAAAGGAAGTTAGCAAGGCATGGAGCATCCGATTAATAAAATTGTGATTAAAAACGAAAACGCCCAGAAAAGTTTGAAAATTGTTGGCTTTTCATTAGAAATTTGTATCTGTAGAATAATTACAATAGACGTTTCCTTCATGCCAAAATATGCTATCTGAACAAAAAGTACATATCTTTGCAGTCATAGGGATGTGTAAATTGCTAATAATATTTCTAGCTAATGCAAAGAAGTAAATAACCATCTCAGCATACGTTCATTATTTTGAAGGGTGCATAAAAGCCAGTCTATTAAAAAACTCATTATATTCTTTTTAAAAGGATATAAGCATTATGCCAGCAACATTTTCAAGAGCACAAGTATAATAAAAATAGAAAAAAAAAAGAAAACAGAAAAGAAAAAAAACCAAAATTCCAGAAATGAATAACATTAAGTACCGTTATTAATACACTTATTGGACTATAAAAAAAAAGAACTTAGCAAAGATTAATGGGCAAGTTTTTTTTGCTTAGCAAAACACCAAAATAGAGAGTTATATTAGTTTATTATAGTTTTTTCGCGGTGAATATGGGATACTCTACAGTTTATATTCAAGTATGTTACTTGTAGTTACTTTGAGCTTGTTGTTCTCCTTAGCAACTTACTACTTGATATACTGCACATCTCTCGCTTAAACGCCTCTTGTCCGGAATGTCTATTTCACTCTTCTTCAAAAGTTTCTAAACGCAAATGCACCAATGTGCGTAAAAATGGGAAATACATGTAAGATAATGTTTACCGCCAAACGTATTTTATAATAATATCCGCTTGTTCAATTAAGAATAAAATAACCTGAGGAATTGTTTGCATACAATGCATATTTTAGTTAATGAAATATTTATTAATAAGTTAATTTTTATTCTTTATTACGATATTTCAACGGTCATCTTCCGCTATTCCCATATTATTATTTGTAATATTTACTTTTTCTCTCTTACGGTAATCATAAGCAGAAATTGAATTGAATTGCGTTCTCACTATTGGTTACACTGTCGCTTGTTTGATTCAGTTGTTGTTATGGCAGCATCGTGGTATTGCTGGCATTGTTATTGTAAAATTTCGTTTTACTCTCGGAGATATCTTTAATTATTCCTATCTGAAAGAGAGAGATAAAGTAAAGAGAGAGATGTGAATACAAACCTAAGCATTTTCAACATTTTTTTCTCTGTTCCTCTGAGAGGAATTTCTTTGACTGCTTGGCAGTAATGGGATCCCCTGGCATTTTGTTATTGTAAAACGTTATTTTACTCCTGTGTCAAAAGCGAGAGAAAGAAATAGAGAGAGAATCACCAATTGCTTACATGAATATAAATCTAAACATTTTGCATTTTATTTTTCAGTACTTTTTCTCTTTTTAAAATGAGATCGTGAAAGTCGTGTCGGTTGTAGCGCGTTTATAAATTTTTTTTTTGCGGAATTTTTGAAGAAAGACTTAAAAGAAACAATATTTTGTTTGTTTGTTTGTTTTTGTTTGTTTTTTTTTTTTTTAAATAGAAACCAACTGTGCTGTGAAAAGAAAACGCAAGAGAATTATGCAGAAAGTAGATAAAACCTGAAAAAAAAAGTTAAACACTACAGCAACATATTTATTTAAAGAAGCGAAGAAAAAAAATTGTAAAAGTCGTCTGCAAAACTTAAAAGAATGAAAAATTTGCAGTAATGTGATAACGAAGATTTTCTTGCCAAAGCCAGCATAAAACTGCAAAAAGAAAGAAGAAGTATAAAGTAGTAGTAGAAAAGAAGGAGCAAAAAATAAATAAAAGAAGATATCAAGTAAAATTTGTTGATGGCTTTGAGAGCCAACTCTAACCAATAAAGTAAAACGCGTGTTAACTACGTTAAGTTGTGTGTAAGCGCTTTTTTCTTTTTTTTTTAATGCGGTTGTGAGCGAATCTGTGTACAAAATAAGCAGCAAAATATAAAAAATAAAAACCTGAAAGAAGTGTTTGTTAAACTTATAAAAAGAATTTTATTTATATAGAGATAATATATTTAAAGAAAAAGATTTTTAGGGTTCACTTTTATGGGAAATCACTAGCGCTTGCCTTAATAGCAGAGTAATTAATAATCCACCACCATCCTTACTATCTGCTCTATACCACCATCTTATTATCGAGATAACAGAGATAACATTATTTTCTTTTTAAGAAATTTGTGAGACTTTGTTTTTTGATTCCTTTGGTTTTTTTTTTATTTTAAATATATATATATACATATATATGCACTTATGTATGTGAAAGAAGACGATACGTTATAGTGTACTGTGAAAAAGTAAAAAAAGTTTTCTTTTCACATTTTCACAGATCTTCAGAAGTCATTGTTGTTAATATATTAATGAACCGACCAAATCATAAGCAAAAATGTTCTGATTCATGCAAACAATATTAGATAAAATAAGGGAGTTAAGTAAAGAAAAAACCTAAAGAAAAATGTGTGTGCCTATGTATGTATAAACGATATTTAATTCATATTAAATAATTAAAAATATTTAATGAATACCTGGTAAAATATATTAAAAAAGAAGAAAAAAAAAAAAAACTGCTGTTGCTGCTCAATTTACGGAATAAAACTTCTTTTTAATTAAAGGTAAGCATGATTCTTAAATTACTACTAGCTAACTATAAATACAATACATATGCAGCTACTGATGCATGAATGCGTGCGTATGGCTTATGTGTGTAGACAAGGAAAATAAAAAAAACAACAACAAAGAGGGTTTGATAACCTAACGGACTTTACACCCTATTACTACTTGTAGTGAACATTAATTCGTGTGTATGTAGGTTTTCAAAAAGTGTGCGTAACGTATTCTGCAAAAATTGCATGTGTACCGCAGAATATTTTCAAAAATTATATTTACTTTTTCCTTCCCCTCTTTATTTTCTCTCATATATTTTCAACTCTCTCATTCTCTCTCTTTTTATCTATCTTTTACACGCACTCTCTCTCCTTTTGTATATATTTTCTCATATCTCTCTTCTCGTTTATTTTCTTTCCTTTTACGTTCTTAATAAATATTAACACAATACGAACGTACGTTAACGTACTTTTTCAAGTTAATAAAATAGTTGCTTTTATTTCTGACTTTTTCTACTTCTCTATCGTCATCATTATGGCCGTATGTTCTTTTGGAGCTTGCGTTAGCACTTGTCTTCTTTTCACCGTTTTAAATACGTCTTCATCAATTCTCGTTCTCTTTGTCTTTAGCTTCCTCCTTCTAATACTTAGCCTCATATTGTTTTGTTTGTTTAATTTGCTCTTAATGTTTATGTTTGAGAATATTTTGATGACCGTTTGTTTGTGTTCTTATATGTATTAGGTTGTATATGTGTTCTATATAGTTAGCTGGTTAAGGAATATAATAAAAGTAACGTTTTTGTGAGTAGTAACTGCTGTATTTAAGCTAATATCCGTTTTAAAAGGCATCTTGTGAAAATCCATTAATTTAAATAAAAGTTAAACATAAGAAAAGTTGACCAATTTGGCTAACTGAGCCAATCGAGGATCATCAATTCCTCTTAAATTGACAGATAAAACTTCACATATCACATTCTTGGTGCAAAGCGATGTTAATGATGAATTCTTTATTGAGCTTTTTATATCTTGCATCACTTGTGGTACACGAGTATGTCCGATTTTCGCGGATGTATGCAATAGCCAGAAGGACTTGAGATAGATCCACGGAATAATTTTCTGAATCGATCTAAGCTTGTCCGTCCGTCGGTCTATCTTGAACCATTTCAATATAATTTAGTGCAATGGTTGAAAATGGTTTGGGTCAGAGCACATTTTTGATCATTTTGAACACACGTTACATCAATAATTGAAACACAACATTAGTGTGTATGATTGTTTCGTGAGAGAGATGTTGTTTTTAAGCTTCTCAAAGAAAATCTTAGAGATATTCATTATTTAAGGCAGGAAATTACACGATATCCACAATCGGAGAGGTTCTTTCAAGAAATAAGGCTACAGTCTGAGTTCGGTTAAGTTGGACAGGTCCGCTTGTCCTCAATTTCGCAAATATACATGTAGTTTGAAAGTGACATTTTTGTGTTAACGAATGTTACGTTAGGAAGAAAATGGAAAAAATTGAAGGAAAATAATAGGTAAATCAGCTTGCTTCTTCTTTTTAGAGAATTAATCTGGAAGTCTTGCAATCAGTCGAACTTGCTATCTTTTAAGATAGATTTTCGGAGGTATCTAAGCTGACTTTCAAATCGCCATCGATATATGTAATTCACACGTGGAAATAGATTCAAAGATTAAATAAGCGTTTTAGCTTCGAGTTTATGATTTTTAATCAATAATCAATTATCAAATAATTAAGATAATTCAATCGGTTAATTAATTAAGATTAATTAAAATTAAAGTACAATTATAGACAACAAAGTCCCTTTTGTCATAAAATATTGAAAAAAAAGTATGAAATAGTTAACACAAATTAATTATACACTGTATAAAATTAGTGATAGTTACATACATAGTTATTAATTATGCTGAGAACTATAAAATGTTTGAATTGCTGCTCAGAGCCCACTCGCACCAATAATAGCTTTGAGGTTAGATGGTATTTAAGGGCGAACGGACGAATCGTTCTATTTTTCCGGCTTCTTTTCCTCTTTTTTTTTTTTTTTTTTTTTTTTTTTTTTTTTAATTTTTGCAATCTCGAGAGACAGTTGATGAATAGAAGCGCCTTGCATAGGCATGTTCTCTTTGTTGGCAATCGCTGGCGTTGCAGTGTGCGTGTGAAGTGATATTTAACACTATCCTAATTTTCGACACATTCCAATGCAGCGGTGTGCGCGCACTTTGAACAATTCTAAAAATGTTTTCAAAATAGTAGCTTCACAAGTTTTTTTTATTAAGGCGAAAACACTTCAGTTTTCTTCAGGATCGAGATATACGAAAACAGTATCACACGGGAGAAGGTTTACTTTTCCTGTTCAATTTGCATGATTTGCACCATCATTAGGTCGCTTCTAAAAATAACGACTTATTACAAACAAAAACAAACAAACAAGATTTTTTTGTATGGGCGACAAGTCTCCATCTTGTTGCGTTTTTGCACGACTATGACAAAAATTTTTTAATGGTAACTAATGAGGGCGGTCGCTTGCCGTATTGCTCATGATTTACTGCAATCCGGTTAAGATAGTACCGAAGGAAACTTTGTTTATAATCGCTTTAAATCTGTGGTCTCTTATTGGTGCACTTCTTTGCCCATTTATGGTTTCTCCAACTGATGACACATCAGAAAAGTTAGGGCTTTCGGATCTATTGGATTCCGAAATTATTAGCAATTATTTGGAGTTCTCCTTGCCTTCGCTCATCCTTTATATTACGTAAGAGGGTGCTTGTTCCGAGTAATCTTCCCCTATGTCTGTCGTGGGCAACCCATCCAAGAAAACTGATGCGATTGCGCAGGTGACACCGACATTCAATCGTACCAGATAAGCTGTTATTAGTCGTCAGTTGATTCAAATTATTTCCGGTGCTGTTGCTCTGGACTAAACTATTTGAGATGTTTAAACTTCCGAAAGAAAGTTTTTTTGTGATTTTCTAATACGAAAAGGTTCAGTAAATTGCCGTATTGTATATTTGCTATCGTAGAAGACGAACCATAACGCAATAATGAAACTCAAAATCCAATATATCCTTTAGATGAGGCTTGTTATTATGATAATAATTGTGATAATCGTCTCTCTGCTCCAAATCTGATTGCTTGATATATTAAATGACATTGGTTATAAGAGCTGCTTTATTCTAAAATAGGACCAAAACGCTTTAGCTTGTAAAAGTCTAGCCTTAAAACTTGTTAAAGGAAGTAACCATTCTCTGCAATAATAGCAAATGTTATTATTATTATTATTATTATAAATTTAGCCAAAGATTAAATTCTAAGACTAAAGTCTTAAAGCACTAGCATCTAAGGCTTTCGGCTTTATTAAAAACTCTACTGCACTTGAGATTTGAACCCACGATCATTGAGTTGCTAGTCGAGACTCCTGCCTACTCGGTTACTCAGGCGGATTAATAGTAAATTTTGCTTTAATATTTTGGTTGAAAAAGAAGATTAGGGATTAGAAGAAGAAGAATTATTTCTATTTACTCATTTGACAGAGAAAGATGTTTTTATATATGGCTTGGAGGAGAGAAGAAAGACTCTTCAGCACTATGTACTGCTTGCAGAGGGTCAAATAGGTTCGCGTGACAGCATCCGGATTCTATTTCTCTCTTCTCAACTTGTGAGAATAATTTCTGCTTCAAGTTAAGATTAGAAACGGACTGCCTGCAAACTGCACAATCCGAAGAAAGGAGAAGAATAAGCTTGCGCGCGACTAAAGTTGCAGTGTCTCGGACGGCAGCTACCGTTAACGAAGATATTTGAAAATTTTCAAATATTGTTTGTTAATATGTCCTATAGATTAAGTGCTCTATAGAGTCTCTTCTGTATTATTATATCCAAGGAAGCGAGGTGTATTCATTTTGTCAAAATGTCTGCAACACACAGAACGAAGTTTCAGAGCCCCCCACAAACTAAATATATTCTTGATCAACATCAAGTTCCTAATCGATTTAAGCATGTCTGCCTGTCCGCCTGTCCGTCTGCTCAACTGTATAGTATTTGTGGTAAATATTTTACCGCTCGCAAAAATGAAGATACCGCCTACAAATTTGCAAGAAAACAAAAGAAACGCCTAAAAAAGCTGGTAACTCTATACGACGAAAACTGAGAACAGCTTTGCTTTCCGCGGCTTTTGCTCATTACTGCAAACATAAACTGCAGCAGATAAATTTGCAAAAATTGGAACATATATTCTGCAGATGCTGTTGTAGTACTTGTACAAGAACGGGAAAAATTGACTACGCCTATCCAAGATTATAGCGTATCATAATTTAATATTTTTAGATACCTTTATGAAGCGCAGAAACAAGCATCGAAAATCTCATAAGCTTGGCCAGTTACAAATTCAAAAGACAGCTAAGCATGTCCGTGTGTTTGCGTGTCCATCTGTCCGCCTGTCCAACTATGTAGTACCTGTGTTAAATATTCTTCCATTAGCTGAAATGAAGATATCGTCAATATATTTGCAAAAGAATTTAATAATCACCTAAACCGGTCAAAGGGCACTCTCAACCGCCTACGCAACCGGCCATATCTTGTTTATCGCTAACCATTCATTTTATCACCTTACTACAGTGCGATTAGGTAAGATTAACTTGTTGTTACAAGTTACTGTTATCAGGTCAGCGTTAGGAAGTTTTAGATGAATTTACTACTGTACAATATTTACAAGGGTGTGAAGATAAATTCGAATTTAACTAGTAAAGACACCTACCATTTCTATTAACATACCTCTGTTAACGAATTAACGGAGCTCATGTTAAATAATTGCAATTGAGATATAGTTGGATTGAAAGCCTAATCCGTCCATATTAAAAAAAAGAAAATATTTTTGTGGACATTTCATGAATCCATATAAAACTACCTTTCAAACAAACTAAAAAAATTCAAATTCTGCTTATGGAAACTATTTTTAACGGTATTTGAAATTCAGTATGTTAGCGAAAACTGCATATGA